GAAATATAAGCTTTTGCTTAACTGGTTGCCGCTTCTAAAATCCGCGTATCACCACTTCTTTTGGCTGTTAACCTGTGTATAAGTAAAAAGAGGGAGAAAAGCGACGATCAAAATGTACAGATCCAATTAGTTCTGTGCAGATCCCAATCACACCTCAAATAGGCATTCGGTTGGCGTCTCAAGGATACAGATGAGGTAGCCTAGATCACGTCTGAGGGAAGAGCATTCTAGGGTTAAACTGCCCTTGGGGAATGGAAGTTATGTCCGACATCTAGCCTTCTATGTTCTAGGCTTAGTTTTTGCATGTATCCTCTAAGATTAGTGCCGCAGCTGGGACTCAGTAAGTGGGGGGGTGGGTGTCCAGTGGTATCCAGGATGTTGTTGTTCATTATCAAGCCTCGTCTTAGCCTCCTATATTCCGGGGGATACAAATCCAGCACAACAAGTCGTACTTCGTATGCTTTGAACCTAAGTCCCCAAACAAACTTAGTCGGGCGCCTCTGGGTGATTTCTAAGCTTAAATTATCCTCCTGAGAAGATGGGAGGACGATGGTCCTGAACCCCAGATGAAGCCATATGAGGCTGCTGAAATTTTGGCGGAAACATCTATGACTGAACTGTCTGAAACCTCGTCTGAGAGTTGCTAACGCCAAATTTCCAAGAAATGCGTTTCCGTCACAGTCGGCGTGGGATTTTAAGCATTGAGTAACTGAAACTACCAAATCTTCCTCGGTCAACGACGCTCCGAGTTCCATACCGACAAAGCCATATACGTGACCTACATAGTGTTTTACCCTCATTACCTTGCATTCTTCGGGATTAAATTCGAGCCCACAGCTGACCACCCAGTTCTGAAGTTGAGTTAAATCTTCCTGCAGCAAAACACTGTCAACCTCACTTCCCCCTCCCTTCCCCGTAGTTTCACGCCACTGGCGAAAAGAGAATTTCGGAAGAAAATTGTTGAGGTGCGTCATTTATATAGATTGGAAAAAGAAGGGGCTCTAGCACCGAACACCACTAGGGCATTCTGTTTCTCCGAACACAGAAAAACTTGAAATCTAAAAAAAGACCACGTAGATATGAAGAAAACCAGACAGTGAGCGGCGGTCTGCTCCTGGCTAATTTCACTTCATGAGTAAGGCAACCGTTATTAGCGCGATCCAAAGCCTTAGCAAAGCCTAGGCAAACAGCACCAATTCGACCTCGGCGGCCGGCATAGCTAGTCCATCTATCTACTGCAGTGGGCAGATTAGTAATGCAAGAGTACACCCCTCTCAATCCTTGTTGTTCGGGCGTAAAGAACTTAGTCGTAATGATGTGATCCATCACTCAATCATAGATTAACGATTCCATTACTTCGGAAGGCATGGATAGAAGCTTCACCGGTCTGCATTTCTTTGGGTTGCTTCGTTGACGTTTGAAGTTTAGCATCATGTGGCCCAGCTTCCAAGGATTGAGTGCTTTCCCTTGACTTAAATAACTTACTTGAAGGTTCAGACAAGATTGACGCTTCTTCCGCAGTACCGCCACATGGATTCCACCCGGCCCCGGACAGGTGTCTTTTTTGGGCACCAGTAGTTTGCGCTGTACACGCTCAACGTCCACGTCAGTGACCGAGACTCCCACTTCGTAAACTCCCGAGTAGGCGGACAGCGATGAAAAGATCTGTAAATACTCGTTGGTAAGGAGCTCAGCTGCTTCATTGTCGCCGCTAGCCAATCCATCGGTACCCAGTGGCTGAAAGAATCCCAGTTGTTTGACGGTGCATTAAAGTCTCCTATAACTAAACATCGACGTTCAACTGGCCAGAGGGCCAGCTCACTCAGAAGGTAGTCTGCTGCCCCACATTCAGGGTTTCGGTATGCTATGATTACGCTCACATCTTGTCCCTTGCGTTCTAGTCGTCAGCGCAGCGTTTTGCTTGTCACTGTTCCACATGCCACCGCTCCCATGGCTTTTACAGTTAAGGCATTCTTAACGCAGAGGGGGACACCACCACACTTGCTTGCTTACCTATTACTCCTAAAAGGAACGAATCATCCTAAGTGTGTTTCATAGTCACTGATCCCAGAGGAGAGTCAAGTTTCTGAGGTAGCAATGATGTAAGGACTTTCCATGCTTACTGCATCACTGAGCTTAGTCCACTTGTTCAAGAGACTACGTGCATTCGCGTACAAGACAATAAAACTACCTAAACGAGTTTCCGTCTCATCCATAGAGGCTTCGACGTCATTTGTTGCCGAATTTCCCTATTCTCAGTGTTGAAATGCTCGCAAACACTGGAGTTGACGAAATCTTTGCGTTCATCAGCTTTGCATCGCAGTCTCGTAACTTCGTTACATCACTGGACGTCGGCGGTTGATACATTGTTGCGTTGAGCTGCTTGTCATATCGGCTGCTTAACAGTCCCACTTGTCTCACTGCCGTTCAAGGGTTCTACATCAGGTCCTGTGATTTGTTGGTTTTCACTGAGACACAAACCGGTATAGGCTTTTTGGGCCGATGCCTAGCTGTTTGTCCAGGTTATTCTAGAATTCGTGCCTGTGGTTACGAATGCACACATCACACGGGTTGCGTGACTTCTTTCAGCTAGGAAAGTTCGATTCCTTGTGTGGTGCGAGCCACTGTTGTCAAGCCTTTCTTTTCCTGCGTAATCGCCTCCGGGTTGCGTTGGTAACCCAGGACAGTTTGAGATTCTGTCCCCTGGCTGATTCTGAGGCACTTTTTGATAGCGCTGAAGATGGCATCCATAACACTTATCCACGGTTTGCTTGGTGATAGATGATGCCGTTCTTGTGGCCATGGTGAATAAAGGTGCCTCCGGGTCCATGACATACCACGAGAGCTATGCCCTTGTAGTTAAAATTGTATCTGTATGCAAATGAGTGCAGTGTTCATAGCTACAGCAGTTTACTTACTGTATATCTTGCATTACTGAAGAAGCGTACCAGGAAACCACGTCCTGAGCTCAGTACTGTACAAGAACTTGTGAAGGGGTTGGTGCGCTGCTGCAGTGGACTTTGACCGCCAATCCCCAGTAGACTGATAGGCCTCCGTGTTTCAGTTTTTTTCTGGTATCCTGGCGTTGGTGTAACGGAAGTGTCAACCATCACGTCTACTGGTCTTAGTTCACCAGATAGTTTTTTTGCGTCTCGTATCGTCTGTATTTTCTTGGAGGGTGGCTTCCATATTTCAGTCTAGTGGACCGTGGTTTGCCCCTGCAGTAGAGTATAGCAGTTCCTATTCGATCTCTCAGGGGATACTGTGCTGCAAGTGCTTCCTTGAACGATGCTTCAGAGTCAGAGCGTACAGCTGGCAACCTTGGTGAAGAGATGCTCTGCATGTGAGTGGGTTTTGGTGATCTACTTAAGCTGTTGACTGGCAAGTTTCCTAGTCTCATTTTTTCCGCTGGCCACTTCCCCTGCTCGACATCGCAGAGGTAATGATCACCTTCTGGGGATACTCTGTACACTACAGGAATTCCGTGCACCGCCATGGTTGCAGCTTTGTGCAGATCACTAAGTGTGGACTTCCTCCTCAAATTTTTGGTGCCTGGGGGTGGCATCGTCGCGCGCTTGTGGAGCATGCCCAGTTTCTGTGGGTGGATTAAAGGAGCCAATATTTTGTATTGACTTGGGCTGTATCAGCTTTCTTAAATTGCCGGTAGTAATAGCAGGTAATTTCTGACACTCCGGACACATGTTCCACGTACGCTTACATGGTACTTCGTCACAGAGGTGTGATTTTGAGCGAGCCTCAGACACTGGTGTATCGTGAACACCACAGTGGTTCACTCTTGATTGACGACTGTATGGTCTGCTTTTTGTGAGTTGGGATCAACTGTGGCGTGTTTCAGTGTACCCAGCTGTGAGGGTACCGCCATCGGTAAATGCTGAGTCCGTTGTGACAGCAAATTAGAGATCGTGGGTGGTATGGATATTGTCCCGCTCATCTCCCTGCACAGACTGGTTTCGGTTAACCTACCCACCTCATTGTGCCAGTTACGGTTTGCGACCTAGATTTCCGTGCCATTATAGTTGAGCTGTGCGAAACGTGTCAATTACACATAGGACAAAGAGAAGAAATGGTACTGGAGATAACTTACCGCCAAGAATTTGACACTTTGTCTCTCTCACTTGACTAGAGACTTTAACTCAATATTGCAAGTGCGTATGCAAGAGCCTGGAAAGATAATTCCCAGTGAGTGATCTCGGAAGAGCACCAAAGACCGCAGTAGTTTGGCCGTCCAGATGACTACGAAGCACAAGCAGGTAGAGTTACCGAGTCGAAAAGATGTTTACGTTGTTGTGATCAGTAGTTGTCACGTCCAGCTGATTAGCTGAGTTTCATTCACCGTTAAGATAAGGTTTAAAACCTTTCCGGCGGTGAACGCCGTGGTTCTGACCTTAAGGTTGGGGATGAACAAAGCGCTACATTATTCAGGCAGTGCCTAGAAACCAGCTTCAAAACATGGTGGATTCTAATGAACCATTCTCAGCCACTCACCTTCCGTTGATTTGGTAGACCCAGTGGGTTGTTGTTTGCGATTCAATCTGCTAGGAAGTGCATGGCTTCTCCTGAAAGCGCACAGTAGATAGGATTTCCAAAGTGCCTTTTTGTCAGCTAGCTGATCAGTCAGGGATAAGAAAGGATAAGAATCTTTATACTCACTTTAGCAAAGTATGGGGAAATAGTCAGTCATTTACTTTTTGTATTCGTTTGTCACCGAATTATTTCTCATTCGATGCTTCACATGTAACATTTCTGCTGAATTATGTTCTGAAACTGTCATAAATATCAATTTACGCTTTTGTACCATGTATCAGACCATGCTCTTCCTTATCCTCTTCAGAAGATCAAAAGTATATATTTTTCCAGCTTTTTCAACGAAAGTAAAATTGCAGAAAGTTTCTCCGAAGTTTACCAATTCTGATTTATGCTCGATAACTCTCCAGTTGTTTTACTGTGCAACAGAAAATGTCAGCCAATGAAAAGTGCTTGCTTTCAAGGTTACTGATCATCGCGACTTGAGGCACATTGTGCGTTTTTCAAAGTCATGTATGTCTTTCATGGCCTATTCGATTGAATATCTCTTTTAAAAAAGACTTTTCCTGTTTTCCTTCATGAGGCAGTAGTTTCAGCTGACATGCGTGTTCAGTCGTCATGCAGCTGAGAAAGGGATAAAAGTATTATATTGCCTATCACTACTCGGGAGATAGTAACTGAGGTACATCTTTTTACTACATATGTGCATGTGCAGTGGTCTACTCTTTTGTGGATCTCACCGTTAAATCCATCCTTAAAAACGGATGCCTTGCTTGATACTTTCGTTGTAGAAATGCCTAAATAAAAGATTTATTTTTATCAGGCGAAAGAAAAAGGCTAAAAATCTTTTTCGAGAGAAATGACAAGACATTTCCAGTTTTTATTATATTCTGATCCACTTGTAGTTATATGTCATACCATAAGGTTGCGTTCACCACCTTTAGAATTATAATTATTCGCTTGAAGAATATATTAAAGTGATGATTTCAATTCTCTACATCTGTAACATCTCATGTATTTCTTAAGAACCGGTGGGTTAGAATGGCAGTTCTAAAGAAGAAAGAGTCGCCACGAAAGGAAAATTATGCGTCTTTTAGGTTCAAATACATATTATTTATGCGACATTTAGACTTTCCCATTTCGTTAACTCGAAGGCAGCATGAACGGGACATATTTCCTGAGGTTGTAAAGTTTTAGTGGGGATGTTCGGTATAAACATAGGTCCATTTTGCGGCAAGTACGTCTTCAGAGTGAAATGGAAATTGAAGGTAGCAGGGAGACCGGTCGTTTTCTTCTTAGGTTTCTTTTACGTGACAGTCTTTAAAAGGCTTGTATGCAGACGAAAAAAAAACCGCATCAAGTAACGAGCTAAAAACCTAGCTACGAAAATTTTCTGCACGACTTACCTACTAAAGCCAAACAACTGTATTTATAAGTATTGAAAACAAACAACGGCCCCTTACTGTCAATCACTAAGGTTACCTGGTTTCTGTAAGGTTTAATAGTAGAATCAAAGTTATTCCTAAGGATGGGAAAAAATAACTACTCTGGTGATGGTAATTCCAGTGTTTGTACGTTTGCGTTCGAACACAAAGATCGGGTCTAAGATTGTGAGTTGCTACGCTCAAGTGACGTTATCGAACTCACTTGAAATTATTGGGAGGCACTGTGTTAATTACTTCGAAAGGGCTATTAGAAGGGATCAGGTATCTGAAGATGATGGGATGGTTCTTCTCTTCGTTAGACAACCCAGCTGAACAATGTACGTGTTGAAGTAGAGGGGAGATCACCTATGTGGAATGTATGCAATGGCTTATATAGTGACTGCAAACATTGATGAGCGGTGGTAGTGAAAGTGACGGAGAAAGTATTGGTACTAGGTAATGCTTAATGGTTATTTACACTGATTCCAGCGACGGCTGCTACCTGAGCTGTGTTTGGTCTTCCGTATACTAAGGACCCGACAAGCTATGCGGAATAGTACAATTATTCCATGGGATTCTACCATGCCAGAAAGTTTCCTTGCATGGTGCTAGAGCTAAGAGCAACCGCCCTTACAGCGTTATTGATTCACACTATAGTAGAAGTCCGCGGGCGAAGTCTTATTAGTGACTGTAAGTGGGTGTGATAGCAGTGGTTGCCTCCTGGAGATAATCAGGATTATAATCCAATTTTGCTCGGTCGTTAAAGGTTTGAAAACCCTAGCATTGAAAATAATGCTCCTCTCTGTCGGACGCTCTTTGGGCGCTCGCCATTTGTCTCCAAGCACAAACGTGCCTCAGTTAAAATAAAGAACGAAAATTGTCGTGTGACTGGACTCAAGCAGATGTTTCTATGGCTTTGTGGTCACAAAAGTTTACTCACTTTCTTTTTTAGGTACCCTACCAAGATATCAAATTTCATCATGTGGGGGGACTGGGAAGTACCAATCACCCATGGGCTTCCATCTTGAGATAAGATCTGTCTAATTATAGTTTATTTTCTTTCCTCCATTTCTTCCTTCGCCTTCATCATCTGTTTCTGTCATTAACATTATACCTGCTATAGTTTTCTTAACTTTGTACGCCGCGAATATTACCAACAATCCATGCTGGCAGAACACCACTTCCAATTCCCCAAGACCACGTTGCCAATTTCATTTGGAGCTTTCAGTACCCAAGATCTATGCCTGATCAGAAAATTGACCTTGTCAGAACTGTAGAATCTTGGTTTAGGGTTGTGTGTTATGTTTCCTAGACAAGCATGCAAGACCAAAGTATGGTTATTCACTAATGTCACCTGGCCAAAACAGTGAATCTGTTAGGTTCACTTTTCGATTTTCTAAAAGTTTGATGATTTCCCATGAATCCTTTTCAGGTCAGCCTATCTGTGCGTCTGTGAATTTACTAGTACAGGTATAAACTTAAGTTCGAACGCCGAAAGCACATTTTTCAGTTGGATATCAATGGAAAGCCAATTCGGCGCTGTCCGGTTGAATAGATCTGTAATAAATGGAAAGGGCCAATGCTAGACAGCAAAACCTGATGCTCTACCCCCAATGATAGGAAGTAGCAATCAAGTTTACTGGTTGAAATGAATCAGGTTTTAGCTAGTATATGAGTACTAGAAGTAACTCCACCAGACGTTTCAGGTTATTAATCATTATGGTCTACGAGAAAGAGCTAAAGTCTACTTGTCGTGACCATAGGAGAGTTGAATTGACCAGAGTAGTAATTAAAGCTCTAGCGTCAGTAGACATTCTATACCTAATTAGAGTTTAGGAATGACAAATCCAATAACTCAAAACGAACTTCATGAATTTGGAGGGATGACACTAGATCCTAACCTTTTGTTAGGCTACGAAGCGGAGATGTGCTAATGTTCAGTATCTGCCATATTTCTTTTCTTTGTAGGGACATTCGACTCAGTAGATCGAGAATCGTTCCAGCAGCGTCCGTTCGTGAAGGAAATAACAAACAAGTACACTATATCGTTCGAAACATTCTACTCAGACGTATTTAGCCATGTGAGGGCTTATGAATAGTCGTTTACCGGGGTGAATTATTTTGTACTTCAAAACAAGCACCGGGAGTTACGCTGTAAAAAGTGATCTAACAATACGTAGAAGATATAGAAGTAGATTACGAAAATAGAAATGAAGTAAAGAAGTAAAATGTTTGCCTCAGACGTTGACCCAATCACAGGTGAATTTTCATTAGACCTGAAATACGCAGATGGCATAGTCCTGTCAGGTGAAGACGCTGACAAAATGCAGAGTCTTCTGAACACTCTGAGTGGGAATTTTAGAATGTTTGGGATGCGTTTTTCACCACTTAAATGCAAATTGTTGCTCCAGGATTGGTCTTCAACGGTGCCTCGACTAACAATAAAGAGTAAGTGTAGTGGTTGAATGTGTCGACCACTTCACATACCTGGGAAGTAGGACCAGCCCTGGTGGGTCAGTGGCCGATGAAATCTCCGCATGAGTACAAAAGGCTCGGCTGGCTTTCGCCAAGTTATGCCACATGTGGCGCTGCCGTGATATCCGTTTGTCTATTAAGGGTCGCGTGTACTGCACGACAGTCCGCTCTTTTCTACTCTATGGCTGTGAAAAATAGTCAATGAAGGTAGAAGACATGAGAAAGCCGGCTTCAGGTGTTTGACCACCGTTGCCTTCGTAGCATAGGGCGTATTCCGTGGTGTCATCACGTGATTAACGCAGGCGTAGAGTTTTAGGGAGAAGAGGTAAGTCAGTTGACGATGTTGTGAACGTTGATCGACGGAGATGGTCGGGACATGTGTTACGTATGCCTAGTCACCGATTGCCTCGTCACACAATGTTGGCTGAGGTGGGTCTAGCCTGGAAAAAGGCTCGAGGTGGCCAGACTAAAACATGACATCAATGTATGAAGTGTTTGACTGTTGGTTTTGAGCCATGTGGGGCGATGCAGACTAGGTGGTTGGGGTCCACGGGACAAGAGAAATCAGTGGTCGGAGATTCTAGATGATATGGCTGAGAACCGATGTCAGTGGTGCAGATGTATACACACATTATCCTCATCTTAACAACGCTATACCGAATCTCACTATTTTCTCATTCTTCCTTTCTCTTTTCGTACTTTATATCTCTTTTGACTGAATTTTCTTATCTTCATCTTCCACTTCACTGCCTTTTTAGTTGATGTGCTGATATGAGGTGTGGCAACTCGGACCGTTACGCAGTAATGCCTAATCCTATGTTAATTTGAATGGATGGATGGAAAGAAATATAATAAAAGTGGGCTATTGAAAAAGCAATCTCAAAGACGCACTTCACTACTTTGTTCTGGTTTTTGATAATCGAAGAAATAAGGAAACTGCAGACTCGTTAGCACTGGTTTCTATTCTGAGCTGTCTGCTATCAACTCAAGCTACTCTGATGCATAGTTTTCCGGACCCCGTCCAAGGAATCATGAGGGACCAACAGAAACTTATTTGACACAGCTATCCTACATCCCATAATGCTTTGTCATGCACTGAACACCTCTCCACTTCATCTAACTAGTCGCAGGCAAGAGAGAAGTAAGTGACACAGAAGCCGCTGAATGGACATTCGTAACAGGACCCACTAAATGAAATTGGTGCTTTAAGATAACTTCGCTCAATGAGTGACAATCTCCATCACGCCGAGACACGTGCTACTTCATTTCAGAATCACTTGCATGGTGTTCCCAACAAATACTAGCGACTCTACTCTCTTACACTCACAATTGTTGAACATCCGCAACTCGGGGAGATCAGGTTCCACAGGTGTAGGGCAGAAGTGAGGCACCGATGAGTTGTACACCCAGCATTTTACAAACAGGCTGATACCAACGATGGTGCAAATAGTAACCCAGATTAGCACATGTGGCTCTAGTTTTCAGTAGGTAGTTGGAAGTTTCACCGGTAACGCCGCCAGCACTGATAACTATGGAGGTAAGCAAACTTTTCGGCAAATCCAACAGGAGACCACCAAGTGTAAGTGCAGGTACATGCTCCTAGTGGTCTTGATGTGAATACAACCAGCAGTGTCATCGAAAGAGGTACACTACCACCGGCCTTAGTCGAGTTTAGAATCGTCCAAACTCTTTGATTAAGACTAAGGATATTTGTGACGCGTTTTCCACCTCTCTAGTGTAGGGTGATACTGTACTACTTATGTGCCCATAACGTAGCTCTTTGTTTACTGATTCTATTTATGTTACGTACTGCGTTTGTTTCCGTGCAATATAAATTTTGATTACTGATGTGGTTAACTTACAATGGCTATAGAATTGTTCAGCCACCATCCTTTAACTCATGGCTAATGGCTTACAGCAGAAAACCTAATTTTTACACATCATACATAGTTTGTATGAATGCCAGCGATGTTTATTGTGCACTTATCAATGGAAAGTTTTTAGTTTAATATAATGCTAATTGTGGAAGCACTCAGTGTTTCCATCATCAAATGTCGCCTAATCATATGGTTTTCACTTCAGTTGCTTTCTTAAATTGGTCTTACAACAACTCATGTTATCATATCTATCAGGCTAAATTTTCGTAGTTGTAACTCGTGTTTAAGCAGTGAATACTTTTTGAATTGTATGAAACAACCGTTGCAAATTCCTTCTGTACATCGGTTGGTACATACACCTAATCTATTTTCTATAAATTTAGTGGTACATTACAGCTGTGTAGAATTTTTGTTTTTTTTTTCATTTACATAGATACGTCTGGATACAGTACATGGTATGTTACACGAATTGCTACTTGCTTTACATGGAATTGCTGGCGGCGTATTCAGTGAATCTACTACAGAGACTGAGAATGATTTAGGACTAACTAAATACTTGATACCTATATCTAAATCCCTTCCTCTTATACCTCAAGGAGAGCTTGTTCTTTATACAAAACTGCTTAGACTTGGGACATGCTATGGATACCTTGAAAGATTTGTTCGGAATTTTTCTGTACCGAACTACGGTTTATATGTATCTGCTTTTGCTTTTGGTATCGATGCTTCACTTAGTGAATATAGAGCAGACTTACACTCACTAGAGACCGAACTTTTGATGCACGCAGACCTTGGAGCTTCACACTTGTGTTACCGTCTTCATTCCTACAATATTTTACTACCTATACTCGTAAAGATTACCAAGAAGGTGAAAAATATTATTGAAGAGCCTGAAAGTTTGTGTGATAACCCTAGCTGCCGAGTTCTAGATGTTATAATATCAGCAACGCCTGCAGGCCTTCTGGGTCCAAGATTTACTATTCAGAAGTTGGTGTATCATGTCGTGCAGGTGCTTTATCGACAATTATTATCATGGCTTATATATGGTGTTCTTCATGATCCTTATTCAGAATTTTTCATCAAGCGGGTAAATCCTGATTCGTTAACTTTTATGGAGCTGTCTACTTACTCTCCTGTTGACGTCTCAGTGACAGATGACTCATTAGAGACAAAACCAGTTTTTGTTGTAGATGTTCATCGTATACCTTCATTTCTATCCACATTGTTTGCCCAAAGAGTCCTCGCCACTGGTGAGGTTATGTGTTTTATCAGTAGCGATCCTTCAGAAGCGCCGTTCCTCTTAGAATTGGAAAAAACATATTATCGGGGCTTTTCAGAAATCCCAACTTGTTTTGAAGAAAGTGGTGATAAACAGTTCGATGAGAAAATTTTCAGGAATCCGCTGGATGTTCGCAAAATTAACAACTTAGTGTGTGAAATCCATAATGTCGTTTCATATCATGCTTGGCACAGTTTGATGAACAAGCACAAACTAGTTCAATATCTTCACTTAGTTAAAGATGTGCTGCTTTTAGGACGAGGTGAATTATTCTTGGCGTTCTTTGACCAACTTAATATTTCTTCTGATCTCAGTGACCTAGAAAGCGAAATAAATTTTAAGATCACACACAACATTTTGGACAAACCTCCTCCAACAGATGACAGTGAAATCCGAGATCTTGAATCTAATATCACTGCAGCGTTTCTAGGAGCAGCTCGTTCTTTGGGTCTGAATGATGAGATGTTAAATACCAGCTTTAAGTACGTGATTTTTTGGCTTCGAGTATTTCCGATTTATGTAAGCTTTGTTAAATTATATGCAGTTTCAGTTCTGTGTCAATATTACTTGTTTCTCTATAGAATGAATAATTTATTATGCACTTCAGTTATCGCACAAAGTTTCATTTACTTTTAAGCTTTCATCATACTAACCTACTTTTTAAATAAAAGTACCTTTGGATATTTTTAGACTCATGACTTAACAATCGTGAATCCAATCATGTTATCATCCACCTACGGCTTCATCAAATTATCCAGTGTTTTGACTTGTTTTCATCTTTGTAAAACGTAGTTGGGATCTAATATGACCATAAAACAATATCGTACATAAAGATCTATCTTGAATTACATTCTTAAGAAGCTATTGTCAATTTTTAGACGGAAAGAGGAGCAGGAAAATCAACATAGAACCTCGCATAAAATCGAACCAGCTCCATTTACCACACTTGACAGTAACACGCAAAGAACAAGCAAATGGAAAAAGTGATATCAAAATGTAAGAAGATGGAAAAGGAATTGAAAACTGAAGGTCACTCAAAACATTAAGGCTCTAAAAGGCGTCACAGTGAGGATATTTGACCCATTGTCCCTGATTTCCAGCCGTTTCATCAAGAGTCTGCAACCACTGATACCCATGCTCCGGGGGACCGTAGTTAGGTTATATTCACCTCCCTACATAGCTCAGACCAACAGTCGAGAGCTGCGATTGTCATATTTTCGGCCGCCGGTATGCATACCTGTGCTCCAGAACCTGTCAGAGGGTGAAGATTTGACTGATACACTCGGTCCAGGTCTGAAACATGGCTGGTTCTGTCGAGTTTATTGTTCTCGAGTTCAAGTTCGGAGTCGGATAGTTATGGACCCCAGAATAACGGATAGAATAATAGTCAAATTGATTCCTCTTTGGTTGTCACAAGAATACTTTTTTCTTTGCCTTTAGACTGTGATTGTATGGAGTTGAGACAGAAACTTGATTCAGCCGATATTCGTACTAACAATCTCTAATTTACCGACCAGCTCCTTGACTGATGGAGTTATGAGATACAACAACTGAAAAGCTTTCAGTTTCACTTCAGTCATTGAGGGTTTTGATGGCTTACCGAAGTGCAGTTATTTCAGAGTCTTATCTGACAATCACATAGATGCCCAAGATACACCTCACAGTAATATGACTAGATATTACCACAGTAATAGTAAATGGTTAGTTGATGGTGTAAAGAAATTTCACAAAGTGCTTTATTGGTTCTTGACAATGCACCTAAGGTTAAATTCATTCTAAATCATTAGGTGTTTTCGTCCGCACCTCTTCATCATTATCAACATAGGACCAGGCATTACTGCGTAACGGTCCGAGTTGCCACACCTCATATCAGCACATCAAGTAAAAAGGTAGTGAGGTGAAGGATGAAGATAAGTGAATGCAGTCAAAAGAAATATAAAGTACGAGAAGAAAGGAAAGAGGAGTGACAAAATAGTGAGATTCGGTATAGCGTTGTTAAGATGAGGATAATGTGTGTATACATCTGCGCCACTGACTTCGGTTCTGAGCCATATCACCTAGGGTCTCCAACCACTGGTTCCTCTTGTCCCGTGGACCCCAACCACCTAGTCTGCATCGTCCTACATGGCTTAAACCAACAGTCAGAGACTTCATACATTGGTGCCATGTTTTAGTCTGGCCACCTCGGGCCTTTTTCCAGCCTGAACCCACCTCAGCCAACATTGTGTGACGAGGCAATCGGTGACTAGGCATACGTAGTACGTGTCCCAACCATCTCAGTCGATGAAGGTTCACAACCTCGTCGACTGACTTACCTCTTCTCCCTAAAACTCTACACCTAACTTCTGCATTACTCACATGGTGACACCACGGAATACGTCCTATACTACGAAGGCAACGGTGGTCAAACACCTGAAACCTTTTTGTGTCTTCCACTTTCAATGGCCATGTTTCACAGCCATACAGTAGAACAGAGCGGACTGCTGTGCAGTACACGCGACCCTTAATAGACAAACGAATATCACGGCGGCGCCATAGGTGGCGCAAATTGGCAAAAGCCAATCGAGCCTTTTGTATCCGTGCAGAAATCTCATCGGCAACTAACCCACCGGGTTGATCCTACTTCCCAGGTAAGTGAAGTGGTCAACACACTCAACCACTTCACTCTCTATTGTTAACCGCGGTACCGCTGAAGACCAGTCCTGGAGCAAAAATTTGCATTTGGGTGGTGAAAATCGCATCCCAAACATTCTCAAATTCCCACTCAAAGTGTTCAGAAGACTCTGCATCTTGTCAGCGTCTTCACCTAACAGGACTATGTCATCTGCATATTCTAGATCTAAGGAAAATTCACCTGTGATCCGGTCAACGTCTTTGTAATTAGGTGACGAGAGGGAAACCTCCATAAGAATATCTATGATAAAATTAAATAAGAATGGGGATAGTGGGCATCCTTGACGGACACCACTTGATGAGTATAGCTCCCTGGACAACTCACCATAGGCTCTAACATGCCCACAAGTGTTCGAGTAGAGAGCTTTCAATAAGGTGATGTACTTACTAGGCACGCCTTTCAGTGACAGACACTGCCATAAGACTTCTCGATCAACGGAGTCAAATGCCGCCTTCAGGTCGAGAAATACAGCTATTGTCGGGCGTCTGTAAGCATGCCTATGTTCCAGGACCTGGCGCAGTGTGAATATTTGGTCGATACATCCACGGCCAGGTCTAAAGCCTGCCTGGTTTTCTCGGGCTTGCTGTTCCCGAGCTCCACTCAGGCGTCGGAGAATTATAGAACTTAGGATCTTAGACACTATGTTTGTCAGGCTGATTCCTCTGTGGTTATCACAAGAGGACTTCTCGCCTTTCTTGAAGACTGGGATGATCAGTGACTTAGACCAGTCGGAGGGGATCGTATTTGATTCCCATATACTGGCTAACACTTCCGTTAACCTGACTAAGAGAGCTCTACCACCATTCTTGTATACCTCAGCAGGTAGTCCGTCTGGTCCTGCTGCCCTTCCTCGTTTCAGGCTACCTACCGCTTTCTCAACTTCTTCTAGTGTTGGGGGACCTGTCTCTATGTCCCATTCAGGGTCCGACTGGATAGCGCGCAGCAATGGTGGCTGGAGGCCAGTTAAACTGTTCCTCAAAGTGTTCTGCCCATCGTCCCAGTCGCCTTCCCTGCGAGTGAATCGCAGATCCGTCCTTCTCCGCTATAACCTCACTAACTGTTGTTGACCATTTCCCCCCAGTCTCCTTAATAAGTCTAAATAACTGTCTACTGTTACCGATCGCCGCTGCCTTTTCCATCTCTTTAGCCTTTGCTGCCCACCACTGTTCACGATCGTTGCGCAGACTTTTCGTCAGTCTATTTTTAAGTTGCGCTCGCTCTTCATTGTACTCAGAGCCTGCAGGGATGCATTCACGTGCATCCATTAGTTTGGAAGAAGCTGCTGATATCCACTGGCTCTTTTTAGCCATTATCTTGGAGTCGGCTACAGTCTCCAGTGCTGCTTTTACAGTAGACTGAAGATGGCACCAAGCTTCTTCTGGATGAGTGACAGTCTTTTGTTCCGATAACTGCCTAGCCAACTTCTCACTGAACACGGCTTTGGTGTTTTCGTTGTCCAGCAGAACTCGTAGTGGTTTTGTTGCCAAATTTTTTCTACGTCCATTGAGACGCAGGCATATACGTGCTCGGACCAACGCATGATCGCTGTCCAAACACGTACTCCAGAAGGAGCGGCAGTCTTCCACCGATCCTCTCCAGCGATGACTAATAGCAATGTGGTCTATCTGTGTCCATCGCTGAGTCGAGCTCGGTGGACGCCAGGTCAGACAGTGCCTTTCTTTATGTCTGAAATTTGTGCTGGCTAAAAATAGGCGGTTATCTGAGCATAGTTGTAATAGGCGATCACCGTTATCTGTACGTTCAGCTGGGATTCCGAAAGTGCCACCTAAGTGCCTTTCTGCCTCACTCAGTCTACCCACCTGTGCGTTGAGGTCACCTGCAACAACCACTACGTCCGAACGTTTGGCTTTCGAGAGGAGGTTAGACAGTTTATGGTAGAACTCGTCCTTCACTTCATCCGAACTACAGTCAGTGGGTGCGTAAGCAGAGATTACAAAGAGACAACGGCGAGTCTCACTATTCCTTTTAGTTCTCACTGTGCCGTTCAGCCTCATAGCGCAGAGGCGACTATCAACTGGGATCCAGTCTAGTAGTGAGTTTTCTGCCCTGGTGCTTAATGCTATACCTACACCTGCAAGACCACGAGAGCTAGCTATCGAATCTCCAGAAACTCGAAGGGTGAATTTTGCAGATTCACCAGATTGGTCAGGAGAGGTCAGGTGAATAACCACACTTGGGTCCTGTATGCGTGTCTCACAAACACAGCACACATCCATGCCCGAGTTGCTAGAGTCTTTGCCAACGAAGCCTGTTGGCCAATTTGACGGAGGGTGCGGACATTGAAGGCTCCAATATGTAATTTGGAGCGTGGTTTAAGGAGACCAGGGATGCTGTTCTGTGGACTCAGATCGTTGTCGAAGGCTGCAGAGGTAGGAGAAATTGAAGATGATGCAGCATCATTAATTAAGAGACGTGAAGGAAGATTAGAAGGTAATGATGGAGGAGGAGGATAGCAGTCAGAAGAAACTTGGGTGCTGACAGAGTTGTGAGGGCGGTTGACACTTCCCGGCTGCCCACACCGTGGAAGGCTATTTCTTCTTAAGGTACCTGAAAGAGATTTGTGTGACCGCAGAGCCCATCGGACATCTGCTTGAGGCCTGTCACACCCAGCCTTTTGAGTATGATTATTTTGAATTTTGTATTTTTGGGGCCGGATGGTCGAAAGGAAACGACAAGTGAACCAACACCGCCGGCCCGGCAGACCGTGGGGCGTGGTGGAGTGTGTTATTTTTGGGGCCGACCTTTTCTAACCCCCCCTTCCACTGAGAAGGCAGCATCAGCTGGCACTGCTGGTCATCCAAGGGAAACACCTTACTGCTGTCACACCCCATCCAGCTAGCAGCAGTACGACTTCGCCCTCAGACCCCCATCATAGTGTAGCAATTTACACTATAACGGTAACTGCTTTTTGTCTAACCACTATCCAACAGACCTTTCAGGTATGGTGGGACCACCAGCATAGCTCGTTGGGTCATTGTGCTATGCAAATCTGACTACCACGTCAAGGTAGCAGCTATCGGTCGGGTCCGCACCTCTTTATTAAAACAAATCATTTTCTGCAGCATATTTCGTGGTACCCCGTCTTATCAATCTGTTTGAGTTTCAGCTCAATGTGGAAGTTTCACACTATCTCATTGTAAAAACTGGAGTCTTTCCTACGATAGATTATTTTGTACTCTTTTACTTTCATCCCTTTCGGCTTTTCTAGCAGTGTTATTATCTTTGTTCTAGAACTGATTCATTGTGATTTTCTCTTCGGGAAGTCAGATTTAATGAAGCAGTCAATGAAAATTGCTACTAATTGATCTCGAATTTTAACGTTAGTCATATTTGAGCTTCCAGGAGTTATTTGATTTTTGCGAACAGTTATCTGCTAGTAGGTTTCGCTTTCAGTGTATATACCAGTGATATAAATGATTGGATGTTTAGTAAAGCATTTATTGTCCTATCTTTTGCGGTAGGTATTACTTTTTTCTTCTATCTGGTTTTATTTCTTTCACTGGGATATTTTGTTTGTGAGTAGTCAGTTAACAAGCAGCATTTTCTGTATTCATCCATGGCTCGGTCAATCAGTCTTTTCATCGGAGCAGGACTCGATGACTTTAAAGATGTATGTTGAATCTGATCGTAGCGAGCAAGCTATACGTTTGCATTAGAGTTGCATAGTAGTTATTAGGTTTTGGATAAGGGATTGCATAAAATATGAAAAAGTCGAATGGGAATCAAAAGGAGCATCAAAACAAATGAGAAATTGTGTAATTATCGAACAGAATGAGCGGAAATAGTTCACGACGATTCTATATTTAAAGCTGTCTTCAAAGTTGGTGTTGAGAAGTTCAAATCAGTAGCATAATACATCCCAACACCGGAAAATGCAAGAAGTGATGACAGTCGACTGGCTAAGATTCAAAAGGGAAGACAATCACGACTATTAACAAATAGGGTAAGAACACTGTAAACTGGGATACCGAACATGAGGATGTTTGCCAATATGAGTTTGTCGTAAGTGTTAATAATTTTATCTTTCCTGTTGTAATTTTCCAATAGGTTATCTTTGCTGCTTCATTGAAATTTCGTTCATACTCATGACAAATTTGGTAATTTCATAATGTGAATGCTATTTTTGATGTTCACATTTTACTTTATTTGCCATCATGTTCATAACTAAAGGAAAACGAAGACAATGCAGTGAAGGAAGGTTTTTAGAACTTTACACTCGTACTTACAAGTTTTGTAAACAAATGACTGTCTGTTAATAATCAATAACGTCATATACTTACCATTATGTTCAGAAGGAGTTTAAGCAGAGGAAAGTGTTACGTAATGGTGCATTATTAATAGGGCTGTGGTTAAAAGGGTAGGTGGAATGTACTTTGCCTGCGCACAAAGTCAAGCCTTTAATTGGTGAATCCCCAAAGCCTCCAACATGCGCGGATATTGAGACCGCGCTCCTTTCAAACCCTCCGGTTTGACTCTGATAAACCTCAGTGAATGAAAATAGCTAGAATTCCAGGAATCAAACTGTTTGTTGACTTTTATTTTCAATTTGGAAACCCAGCGTTATAGTGTTTTAAGCGACTTTTCAAAAGAGCACGTTTTTGTACTCCTAATTTAAAAAAGTTCACCGTGAGTCGATGATTTTGTAGAGACACGTTAAAATGGCCCAAAGTGGCAAGTTGTCTTTCTTGCTCCCACGTACCACTTATCAGTCAGCAACAACGTGGGACTTGGCATTACTGCCTAATGGTACATACTACGACACCTCGTATAAATACATCAAGGTAGACACCAAAGTAAATAACAGAAGAATGACGCAAACTGTAATCAAAACTGATTAGGAGTCATGAAAAGATGACAAAGAAGAATGGGACGATAACGAAATTCTGTTTTGCAATCAAGACAATATACGAATGCATCTGCACTGCTAACATCAATTCTAAGCGATGTCACCTAGAGTCTCCAAACACCGGTTTCCGTTGTTCTACGGACCCCAACCAGGAAGTCTACATCACTCATACCAACAGTCAAGAACTTCACGGGATGATACGATGTCTTAGTCTGGCCGCCTCTAACTTTCCCAGGTTGAAGCTACATCAGTTAACATCGTTAAACAGTGACAAGGCGTATGTAACACGTCCTAGTGAACCGAGAGCCCCTACTTTGATATGGTGGACGGGTTTGTATATCACAATGACGAAACAAGCTACACTGGCCGCAACACTTGTTCCGTTGAGGACCTAGCATGCCAGGCAGGTTTGCTGTATGATGGTAAAAGGAAAAGCGCTATGATGGAATGGAGATAAGTCTTCTCGTAACAACCAAAGAGGAATCAATTTGACTATTATTCTATCCGTTATTCTGGGGTCCATAACTATCCGACTCCGAACTTGAACTCGAGAACAATAAACTCGACAGAACCAGCCATGTTTCAGACCTGGACCGAGTGTATCAGTCAAATCTTCACCCTCTGACAGGTTCTGGAGCACAGGTATGCATACCGGCGGCCGAAAATATGACAATCGCAGCTCTCGACTCGAACTCGCTGTCAAGTAAGAGCTTATGGAAAGTTACCATATGAATCTGTGAAAACTAGGGGTGTCCACCAGAGAAGCCTGCTGACACCGTTCCTGAAAAATAGCCAGGGAGAGTTGAAGCTATGAAGTCCATATTTACTCTATTAATTGGGTTAGGTTAAGGGAATAACTGCACTTGGGTCCTGTGTGCTTATCTCACAAACGCAGCACAAATCGATGACCCGAGATGCTAAGTTTTTGGCTAGCGAAGCTTGTTGGCCGATTTGATGGAGGATGCGGATATTGAAAAGTATAATGTGTAGTTAAGGGTACGATTTCGGGAAAGCAGGGATATTCCGTGAATTCGGATGGGTGTCAGGGGGAGCTGGTGTAAACTAAAGGTGATGTAGGAATATTGACTGAGGGATATGAGGAAAGACTAGAAGTTCGAGATATGGTGGTTTCCTAATGGTGCGAGGGAAATTGAATACGGAATGAGTTGTCAGGGCGGTCGCCACTTCCCGGTCACCTACACCTTGGAGTGCTACTTCTTACTGAAACACCTGAAAAAGATGGGTTAGTGCATGACTTGAGAGCCCTGTGGGACACTGATCGAGATCCGTCGCACACAGCTTTCTTAGAAGTTCGAGATTTTAACTTTTTAGTTTGAATCTGGGTATAAACCCATATTGCTGGCGCCGGTATGCCACGGAGTAGAAGGCAGTTTGGTATTTTTAGAACCGACCTTCTCCAACAATCCCCCTTCTCATAATGAAGGCAGTATCAGGATGGCGTTGCAGGTCATCCCCGAGGAACACCTTGTTGCTGTAATAGCCTTCCAGCCAACCGTACGAATTAACCCTCGGACTCCTACAATAGCATAGCAGCTTACATTACAACGATATCTGGTTTTCGTTTTACCACTATTCAACAGATTCTTTTAGCATAGTAGGACTTCGAAGGGACAAGCGTTGCAGCCAGTGTAGGTCATAGGGATATAGGAGCTTGACTACCACGTCAAAATGGCAACCTTTGGTCAAGTCTTCTAATGATTGTAAAATTTGCGAACATATAACTTTGATAACCGTCTCCAGTGTTTTATGGTAATTGTAACCCTTGTTACTAACAAACACTGGAGACGCTCATCAAAAGTTATTTGTTCATACAGTTTACAGTCAATATCTTGATCAATATTTCTGAATTAGAGTACATTTTAATCCATTATCTTAATAAATGTTTCCTTGAGGAAATTCGGTGCTTTAAATTAATGTGGTTTGTTAAACCCTCTTTTATTTATTTAGATTTTTAATAAGATTCAAAAAAGCATCCCATGAAGATGAGATGACGCAAAATTTAACTGTTTGGGATTGCTTACATATTCAAATTACTGTTCCATCACCACTGGAGTGTTTATTCTCTGCGCAGATCTGTTGTGCTTATGATAGGTTATTCCGTTTCGTATCTTCTATTCGTCGAACACAACTGAAGTTACAACATTATTGGGCTGATCAGATTCTATTATGGCGTCGTGCTCGTGATCATACTCAACTCCCTTCAGGCTACTATGATGTAGTTATGTCAAGAGACTATTTTCATAAATCACAGTCAAATATTACTCGTCGTCTACTAGTTCGTAGTCACATGGCATTTATAATTGAAAATCTACTATATTATTTACAGGTTAGTGTGTTTCAGTTATATTTCTCGTGTTTTTGCACACACACTGTTGCCTGTGCTCCTAATTAGTGTAATACATACCATAAACAAACGAAATGCACTCAACCACCTAGTGTACATTCGTGCAGTAGGCAATGAGCCACACCTATTGTGTGAGCCTTAGTGTTTTTACCAGCCTGCCCAAACCTCGGAAGGTGGAGGGTGTTGGTAGTCATCTCTTTAAACCACTAAGCTACAGCTCCACGCAGTACGTACCATACAAAGCCGAAATTACGCCTTTTCATTCATCCTTCTACTTGCAACACCGTACTTTCAGATTGAACAAAAGCCTAACAACAACCAGTCGTCACATATTATTATTTGTTATACGATTGACATTAACGTCACTTAGATTCTACAGCTATTTCATTCGTAGTAGGAGTAAATTTATCGAAACATTACATGTTGAGAATTCTATGCTGAATCATACATATTGTCTGAAATTAAGTGGTTATATACATGGCTATTTACTAGTTTATGATATGCAAAAAGGGTTGCGTGGCAATAATTACGTACAAGTTTCATGTTGGATGGTCTTGGACATTTGGCGAGAATCCCATCAAAGTGAATCATGCTGCAGATTCCCTAAGCTTGGTGAACATATTTAGAATAACCACTAGTATTGGGTTAACACTTGGGACTAGACAACATAAAATAAGTTACTCTCCAGCGACCAATCAATTTACGTACATGCTTGTTTGCCAAGTTCTAAGTATTCTCATCTATGTAAGAACGAATAGTATCGTCGTTGTCTATATATCATGGTGATTACACTGAATGTGTGTGTAGTACTTGGATCATAGAATTCACATCCCATTAAATGGACCACACCTCTAACCATTCGATCATACCTCCACCGATAGCTGCTACCTTGACGTGGTAGTCAGATTTGCATAGCACAATGACCCAACGAGCTATGCTGGTGGTCCCACCATACCAGAAAGGTCTGTTGGGTAGTGGTTAGACGAAAAGCAGTTACCGTTATAGTGTAAATTGCTACACTATGATGGGGGTCTGAGGGCGAAGTCGTACTGCTGCTAGCTGGATGGGGTGTGACAGCAGTAAGGTGTTTCCCTTGGATGACCAGCAGTGCCAAGCTGATGCTGCCTTCTCAGTGGAAGGGGGGGTTAGAAAAGGTCGGCCCCAAAAATAACACACTCCACCACGCCCCACGGTCTGCCGGGCCGGCGGTGTTGGTTCACTTGTCGTTTCCTTTCGACCATCCGGCCCCAAAAATACAAAAGTTCAAAATAATCATACTCAAAAGGCTGGGTGTGACAGGCCTCAAGCAGATGTCCGATGGGCTCTGCGGTCACACAAATCTCTTTCAGGTACCTTAAGAAGAAATAGCCTTCCACGGTGTGGGCAGCCGGGAAGTGTCAACCGCCCTCACAACTCTGTCAGCACCCAAGTTTCTTCTGACTGCTATCCTCCTCCTCCATCATTACCTTCTAATCTTCCTTCACGTCTCTTAATTAATGATGCTGCATCATCTTCAATTTCTCCTACCTCTGCAGCCTTCGACAACGATCTGAGTCCACAGAACAGCATCCCTGGTCTCCTTAAACCACGCTCCAAATTACATATTGGAGCCTTCAATGTCCGCACCCTCCGTCAAATTGGCCAACAGGCTTCGTTGGCAAAGACTCTAGCAACTCGGGCATGGATGTGTGCTGTGTTTGTGAGACACGCATACAGGACCCAAGTGTGGTTATTCACCTGACCTCTCCTGACCAATCTGGTGAATCCACAAAATTCACCCTTCGAGTTTCTGGAGATTCGATAGCTAGCTCTCGTGGTCTTGCAGGTGTAGGTATAGCATTAAGCACCAGGGCAGAAAACTCACTACTAGACTGGATCCCAGTTGATAGTCGCCTCTGCGCTATGAGGCTGAACGGCACAGTGAGAACTAAAAGGAATAGTGAGACTCGCCGTTGTCTCTTTGTAATCTCTGCTTACGCACCCACTGACTGCAGCTCGGATGAAGTGAAGGACGAGTTCTACCATAAACTGTCTAACCTCCTCTCGAAAGCCAAACGTTCGGACGTAGTGGTTGTTGCAGGTGACCTCAACGCACAGGTGGGTAGACTGAGTGAGGCAGAAAGGCACTTAGGTGGCACTTTCGGAATCCCAGCTGAACGTACAGATAACGGTGATCGCCTATTACAACTATGCTCAGATAACCGCCTATTTTTAGCCAGCACAAATTTCAGACATAAAGAAAGGCACTGTCTGACCTGGCGTCCACCGAGCTCGACTCAGCGATGGACACAGATAGACCACATTGCTATTAGTCATCGCTGGAGAGGATCGGTGGAAGACTGCCGCTCCTTCTGGAGTACGTGTTTGGACAGCGATCATGCGTTGGTCCGAGCACGTATATGCCTGCGTCTCAATGGACGTAGAAAAAATTTGGCAACAAAACCACTACGAGTTCTGCTGGACAACGAAAACACCAAAGCCGTGTTCAGTGAGAAGTTGGCTAGGCAGTTATCGGAACAAAAGACTGTCACTCATCCAGAAGAAGCTTGGTGCCATCTTCAGTCTACTGTAAAAGCAGCACTGGAGACTGTAGCCGACTCCAAGATAATGGCTAAAAAGAGCCAGTGGATATCAGCAGCTTCTTCCAAACTAATGGATGCACGTGAATGCATCCCTGCAGGCTCTGAGTACAATGAAGAGCGAGCGCAACTTAAAAATAAACTGACGAAAAGTCTGCGCAACGATCGTGAACAGTGGTGGGCAGCGAAGGCTAAAGAGATGGAAAAGGCAGCGGCGATCGGTAACAGTAGACAGTTATTTAGACTTATTAAGGAGACTGGGGGCAAATGGTCAACAACAGTTAGTGAGGTTATAGCGGAGAAGGACGGATCTGCGATTCACTCGCAGGGGAGACGACTGGGACGATGGGCAGAACACTTCGAGGAACAGTTTAACTGGCCTCCAGCCACCATTGCGCTGCGCGCTATCCAGTCGGACCCTGAATGGGACATAGAGACAGGCCCCCCAACACTAGAAGAAGTTGAGAAAGCGGTAGGTAGCCTGAAACGAGGAAGGGCAGCAGGACCAGACGGACTACCTGCTGAGGTATACAAGAATGGTGGTAGAGTGCTCTTAGTCAGGCTAACGGAAGTGTTAGCCAGTATATGGGAATCAAATACGATCCCCTCCGACTGGTCTAAGTCACTGATCATCCCAGTCTTCAAGAAAGGCGAGAAGTCCTCTTGTGATAACCACAGAGGAATCAGCCTGACAAACATAGTGTCTAAGATCCTAAGTTCTATAATTCTCCGACGCCTGAGTGGAGCTCGGGAACAGCAAGCCCGAGAAAACCAGGCAGGCTTTAGACCTGGCCGTGGATGTATCGACCAAATATTCACACTGCGCCAGGTCCTGGAACATAGGCATGCTTACAGACGCCCGACAATAGCTGTATTTCTCGACCTGAAGGCGGCATTTGACTCCGTTGATCGAGAAGTCTTATGGCAATGTCTGTCACTGAAAGGCGTGTCTAGTAAGTACATCACCTTATTGAAAGCTCTCTACTCGAACACTTGTGGGTGTGTTAGAGCCTATGGTGAGTTGTCCAGGGAGGTATACTCATGAAGTGGTGTCCGCCAAGGATGCCCACTGTCTCCAATCGTATTCAATTCATAGATATTCTCATGGAAGTCTCCCTCTCGTCACCTCATCACACAGACTTTGACCCGATCACAGGTGAATTTTCATTAGACCTGAAATACGCAGATGACATAGTCCTGTTAGGTGAAGACGCTGACAAAATGCAGAGTCTTCTGAACACTCTGAGTGGGAATTTTAGAATGTTTGGGATGCGTTTTTCACCACTTAAATGCAAATTGTTGCTCCAGGATTGGTCTTCAACGGTGCCTCGACTAACAATAAAGAGTAAGTGTAGTGGTTGAATGTGTCGACCACTTCACATACCTGGGAAGTAGGATCAGCCCTGGTGGGTCAGTGGCCGATGAAATCTCCGCATGAGTACAAAAGGCTCGGCTGGCTTTCGCCAAGTTATGCCACATGTGGCGCTGCCGTGATATCCGTTTGTCTATTAAGGGTCGCGTGTACTGCACGACAGTCCGCTCTTTTCTACTCTATGGCTGTGAAAAATAGTCAATGAAGGTAGAAGACATGAGAAAGCCGGCTTCAGGTGTTTGACCACCGTTGCCTTCGTAGCATAGGGCGTATTCCGTGGTGTCATCACGTGATTAACGCAGGCGTAGAGTTTTAGGGAGAAGAGGTAAGTCAGTTGACGATGTTGTGAACGTTGATCGACGGAGATGGTCGGGACATGTGTTACGTATGCCTAGTCACCGATTGCCTCGTCACACAATGTTGGCTGAGGTGGGTCTAGCCTGGAAAAAGGCTCGAGGTGGCCAGACTAAAACATGACATCAATGTATGAAGTGTTTGACTGTTGGTTTTGAGCCATGTGGGGCGATGCAGACTAGGTGGTTGGGGTCCACGGGACAAGAGAAATCAGTGGTCGGAGATTCTAGATGATATGGCTGAGAACCGATGTCAGTGGTGCAGATGTATACACACATTATCCTCATCTTAACAACGCTATACCGAATCTCACTATTTTCTCATTCTTCCTTTCTCTTTTCGTACTTTATATCTCTTTTGACTGAATTTTCTTATCTTCATCTTCCACTTCACTGCCTTTTTAGTTGATGTATTGATATGAGGTGTGGCAACTCGGACCGTTACGCAGTAGTGCCTGGTCTTATGTTGATATTGATGATGATTGGGTCGTAGGGTCGAATACGCCTTTGTTGACTTAATTTTAGGTAGACAGCTGCACTGTGCACATACCTGCACTGAGTTTTTAAGCTACACTTATTTTTGCCGCTGTGTGATTTAGATCCATAATCTATTTTTATAAAATCGAATACTCGCAACACAGAGCTAGATCTTTTTCAGGCTGCATATAATTGATGAGAATTAGTTTTTGTTTCTGCATGGTTATTTCATTCTTATATCAGTAGAGAACGGGCTGAGTGCAGTTGTTATATTTCACTACCTTGTTAATTATAAATATTTCCAACCTTTGCTTTTTCGATTCAGGTTGATGCCATTGAATCACAATTCTCACAATTCATTCATCGTCTGCATACTGAACAAGAAATTGAATTGATTCAGATAGCTCATGAAGCCTTTTTAGCCGGTCTACAAGCTCAAGCACTCTTGTTTATGCCAAACGTAAAGTCAGCCATCATGAACTTACTAAATATTTGTTGCCAGTTTGTGAATATATCAGATCAAAACCACAGCAGTAGTTATGACTGTGAAGATACCGATGATGATACCCTTGAAAATATTGAGTTACTCAACAAAGAACAAGAAATAATTGACAAGTTTTATCACCACTCTGAGTCTCTGTACAAAGTGTTGGATATGTCATCTGGTGTTAAAAGTAACGCTAGCATAACGTATTTTTATACAAGTCGTTATTCACGCATGAATAAACATCGTCCATCTGTAGGTACAGATTTAAGACAACTGTTATCACGCCTAGATTTTAATTTTTTCTATAGTAAATCACCGGAGAATTTGATTTAAGCTGAGTGAGAGTATTATCATCGACTTACCTATATTTGCTTTCCAGAAAAAAATTTTATGCAGCATTTGTTTATGTGATTTTTGGGTAGTTTTCTTCCTTCTCATTTTTTTATTTATTCACTGTTAGGAAGCAAACACCAATAGATTACTTTTGTTCACATTCGTTTTGTATATATACAGAAAATAATGACTTATTTTAGAAGCGAAACAAGGCATTTTAATTTTGTTTTTCGATAGCATGACAAGGTTATAAATATGTGGTTTGAAGAACGAACAGTCGATAACAAGCATTGCAAAGAAAAACTTGCTCGGGTTATTAAGATTGTACGCGATAAGTTTTGGGATGTCTTAATCGTCCCTGCGGATATTGTTGCTTCTTTCCGGCGGATGTGCGTGTGGTCAGTTATCTAGATCATTTGACTTTAAATAAGTGTATCTATCCTAGAGATTATATCATCAAAACTAGGCATCTTGGAATTTCTAATTCCTGTCCAATCTGATCTCAGCTAATCAGGATTATTGCATGTGTACTAATGGAGAGTGGAACTCAGGACGCGCGTTTCTTTCTGTTTGGGACTCGTCTTGCACTAACAGTGACGTAATTTGTTCGGGCAATAAAATGCTTTTCTGATGATCTTTGAGGAGCTATATCCACAAGCTTAGCTTTAAAACCACACCCGATCAATAATTGAAGTTGGAACAGCACGCTTGATTTCCTTGAATATCTTTTCAAATTCTGCATGGGTCAAAAAACTGCACAGGAGGAACACAAAATTAAGGTCTCATGGATAAGGCTTCTTTCTGATAAGCAGATGTCAATCAACCAATCATTATCAACATGAGACTAGGCATTACTGCGTAACGGTCCGAGTTGCCACACCTCATATCAATACATCAAGTAAAAAGGCAGTGAAGTGGAAGATGAAGATAAGAAAATTCAGTCAAAAGAGATATAAAGTACGAAAAGAGAAAGGAAGAATGAGAAAATAGTGAGATTCGGTATAGCGTTGTTAAGATGAGGATAATGTGTGTATACATCTGCACCACTGACATCGGTTCTCAGCCATATCATCTAGAATCTCCGACCACTGATTTCTCTTGTCCCGTGGACCCCAACCACCTAGTCTGCATCGCCCCACATGGCTCAAAACCAACAGTCAAACACTTCATACATTGATGTCATGTTTTAGTCTGGCCACCTCGAGCCTTTTTCCAGGCTAGACCCACCTCAGCCAACATTGTGTGACGAGGCAATCGGTGACTAGGCATACGTAACACATGTCCCAACCATCTCCGTCGATCAACGTTCACAACATCGTCAACTGACTTACCTCTTCTCCCTAAAACTCTACGCCTGCGTTAATCACGTGATGACACCACGGAATACGCCCTATGCTACGAAGGCAACGGTGGTCAAACACCTGAAGCCGGCTTTCTCATGTCTTCTACCTTCATTGACTATTTTTCACAGCCATAGAGTAGAAAAGAGCGGACTGTCGTGCAGTACACGCGACCCTTAATAGACAAACGGATATCACGGCAGCGCCACATGTGGCATAACTTGGCGAAAGCCAGCCGAGCCTTTTGTACTCATGCGGAGATTTCATCGGCCACTGACCCACCAGGGCTGGTCCTACTTCCCAGGTATGTGAAGTGGTCGACACATTCAACCACTACACTTACTCTTTATTGTTAGTCGAGGCACCGTTGAAGACCAATCCTGGAGCAACAATTTGCATTTAAGTGGTGAAAAACGCATCCCAAACATTCTAAAATTCCCACTCAGAGTGTTCAGAAGACTCTGCATTTTGTCAGCGTCTTCACCTAACAGGACTATGTCATCTGCGTATTTCAGGTCTAATGAAAATTCACCTGTGATCGGGTCAAAGTCTGTGTGATGAGGTGACGAGAGGGAGACTTCCATGAGAATATCTATGAATTGAATACGATTGGAGACAGTGGGCATCCTTGGCGGACACCACTCCATGAGTATACCTCCCTGGACAACTCGCCATAGGCTCTAACACACCCACAAGTGTTCGAGTAGAGAGCTTTCAATAAGGTGATGTACTTACTCGACACGCCTTTCAGTAACAGACATTGCCATAAGGCTCCTCGATCAACGGAGTCAAATGCCGCCTTCAGATCGAGAAATACAGCTATTGTCGGGCGCCTGTAAGCATGCCTATGTTCCAGGACCTGGCGCAGTGTGAATATTTGGTCGGTACACCCGCGGCCAGGTCTAAAGCCTGCCTGGTTTTCTCGGGATTGCTGTTCACGAGCTCCACTCAGGCGTCGGAGAATTATAGAACCTAGAATTTTAGATACTATGTTCGTCAGGCTGATTCCTCTGTGGTTATCACAAGAGGACTTCTCGCCTTTCTTGAAGACTGGGATAATCAGTGACCTAGACCAGTCGGAGGGGATCGTATTTGATTCCCATATACTAGCTAACACTTCCGTTAACCTGACTAAGAGCGCTGTACCACCATTCTTGTATACCTCAACTGGTAGTCTGTCTGGTCCTGCTGCCCTTCCTCATTTCAGGTTACCTACCACTTTCTCAACTTCTTCTAGTGTTGGGGGGCCTATCTCTATGTCCCATTCAGGATCCGACTGGATAGCGCGCAATGCAATGGTGGCTGGAGGCCAGTTAAACTGTCTCCCGAAGTGTTCTGCCCATCGTTCTAGTCGTCTCCCCTGCGAATGGGTCGCAGATCCGTCCTTCTCCGCTATAGCCTCACTAACTGTTGTTGACCTTTTGCCCCCAGTCTCCTTAATAAGTCGAAATAACTGTCTACTATTACCGATCGCCACTGCCTTTTCCATCTATTTAGCCTTCGCTGCCCACCTCTGTTCGCGATCGTTGCGCAGACTTTTCATCAGTCTACTTTTAAGTTGCGCTCGCTCTTCATTGTACTAAGAGCCTGCAGGGATGCGTTCACGTGCATCCATTAGTTCGGAAGAAGCTGCTGATATCCACTGGCTCTTTTGACCCACTTTTTTGTGGTTGGTTACAGTATGTTACAGCATATGTAACATTACGGATTTGAGTAAGATATCTATCCAGAATGATACGGAAATGAATTATTGCTATTTTCATCGTCAGTTGAGTAGTATATTAATAAGAAACTTGAAAGTGAAACACTATTCAATCGTGATAATTTATATGGCTGTTTGTACGGCGGTGTCTATTTAGTGACTGAAAGTGTAATTCTTGACCTACATTTTGACTATTAGATGAACAAAAGTGAGATGAGTTAAGGTTTAGGTAAGAAACAGATTTTGCTTGATCCTTTAAAGTTTCGTTACTGAAGTAGCTATAGTTTGGTGGCTTAGGTAATTGATTTTTAGATGGCTGAAGCACCCGCGTAGCCTACTAAGGTCTCAACATGGATGCAAGTTAGCCCATGTCTGGAGTCTTGACATAGTCGGGGAATAGTAAACAGAACTAGGTAACAAACTCATTGTTGGCTGTTTGGTCAGTTAATCACTTAAATGATTCACACATCCAAAAATACAAGAAGCTAAACAAAGGTAAACCTGCAGTGGTTAAGAATCAGATCTTTTCACTTGACACTCGCAATTCCAACGTCCCTAGCAGCGGATATAGCGAATATATGGATAAAGTGATATTGTTCTAAACGAAAGCTATGAAGCAAGACTTCAGTTTCATTTTTTTAACCTTCATATACGTAAACTTCTGCAGTTTGCTAAGAAACGCGTTTCTCCCCAATATGTAGTACTCCCAAGGTGATCCAGTAGATATATGGTGAGAATGCACTTCGGATAAAACTGAATGAATCCTTAAAGGTTAGTGGAAATTGTGTTGGTTCCCATTCAGCAACGTTTGACAAATATCATTGATGTAACCTATATGGTATATCCACCATCATTTACTACTCTGCCTTGTAATGTTGGTGCTAACCAACTACTATTCCCACTTGAAATAAACAAGTCGATTTAAAATGCATTTGACCTCAAGTGTGAAGGTGGAATTTGAGGTAATGACGCATATTTGCATCCGTTCAATTTGCCATAATTCACCACGACATATACTCTCATTAAACTTTCAGTTAAGAGACACAAAGAGGCAAAGTATGGTTAAATTCTTCCCAAGATAAAGAGTTAAATAGTTAGCTTGTTATGGGTACAGATATACAGTTGAATCGTTCCTCAACAACCAGGCACAGGGCTGATGTAACTTACCAAGTGAGCGACATAGTCAGTCACTTCCATGAACTAGGTATCATTGAGGACGAGTTCTGTAGTACTATTGTACGTTTCATAGGTGGATGGATACAGCAAATATCCAAAGATCTTTTCTTGTTTTCAAGTTCAACCATCCCGGTATTAGGTTATTCTGGTTGGATCCTTTTGAAAGGAAGAGTGAAATCGTTTGATACATGCTGACCGATATGGTCTACTGGTGCTATGTGAAATATAAATGAAGGTATCACGCTAAATACAGATGAATCTGATGTCCTGCTACTTAGTTAGTAACCACGATTCATATCCTGATGAAAATAAGTTTACCAGGACAGTACTGGAGTTTATCTTGGTTACCAACCAACAAGTAACACGTTTGGTAGGATGTTAGCTAACAACCCTGAATTGATAATCTGACCGAAGTCTATCAATTCTATGTAACAATATTGAGAAGAAAATCTTGTGAACTGTGAGTAATGTTCATTATTTTTGAAAAGACTATGTTTTAACGAGTATCACGACACCAAAATTAGTAAAGGTAACAACAATAATAAAATTTTCATCATCCATCCAGAACGCTGATCAAATACTGCTACCATTTGCTATAGATGTCATATATACGTTAGGAGCAGGCAAATAATCACTTTATTTAGGATAGTTTCGGAAGAAGACATGGGAAAGATAATTATGGAAGAGACGTTCGAAAAACAATGAAAGTTTTCGATGAACGACTGTACATGATTTAACAAGAAAACAGATGAATATCAAAAACAGTAACAATAAAGAGAACGTGCGATTCCGTACTGTAAACGATGAATCGAAAAAATGATAGCAAATAAGCATGGCGTACTGATTAGTTTTCTAAAAGTGTTTAAGACGAATACTATCCTTTTTCTGTGTAAAGAAACTGATCATTTATCGTACGCAGACATTTTTCTCCGACTAATATTAATTATTACAGAGAGAGGCAACGAAGTTATATTATGGTAGTAATACTAATAATAATCTGGGAGGGGAAAGACGCAGGAGCTGACATATGGCTATGGACCACGTTTTATGACCAACTCTCCCAATCGTCAATCTAAAATTGAATTTTTTTCAAAAAAGACAATAACATTTTAAGGTGAGTTGTTGCATACAGTGACTTAATCGTCATAATTCTGCATGAAATGAAATTGTCTCGTTGGAGGTAGCCGACATTAATTGAAAAGGTGGATCTCATATATTAACGTCGACGATAATGTTTGATACGCGTACATAGGATGAGTTCACAAGTATAACACCTAACCTTTGAGCTTTCTTTCAAAAGCTTCAAATAATGTGGTAGCTGAGAGATGCGAAGGGATATGGAATTTTGTGGTTTAGAAATAAAATGTTCAACCACTACTACAAAGAGAAGATTCTATTGAGCAACATTTGTCAGGCTTTTAAAAGTTTAACCTACTATGTACTTTTCATGAAGCAGCAATTTTACAGTGCTTTTCTGTGTTTGAGGTTAGGAGCCAACGTCATCTATAATGCATCGCAGTGTCTCGTCACATTGAAAAACTGGTCGACAGACGTCGGTCATTACTGACCATTGCAGATTGCACAGATATTATTCGATTTCCAACTTACTCGCTGGTACTGTAAACATCTGAATAACACAGCATTTACCAATATCCAAGTTTCGATAATGCTTATAGGTACATCTTGATACTAGGTATTGATCAATGGATGATGTGAAAACTCACATTTAGCCAACCTAGAAATATCTGCACAAAAATGAGTATTGATGTTAACACTGAAAGCCGGTCTAAAGCGCAATCCACTAAGCCGTATCTCTTTCGTGTAAGAGTGTCATGTTAGTTGGTTGAAAGTCTTGCACATAAAACATCGTTCCTTCATCACTACCTGTTATTAGATCTTTTATTTTGTCTAAAATTCACCTGCTTTACTGACTATGTTCACTTCCATTGAAGAGATGCTTTAAGTTTTTGCACAATTCTTTTGTAAGGTTGGATGAGCGTGTTTTAGGTAGTGAAACTATTGGTCGCAGTGGAATATCTATCTTATTTATCTTAGGTTAAGACAGGACAATATAATCTAAAAACAGGTAGTGATGAAAGGATGGTATTATTTGAATGCATTCTGCCACAGAGCACAAGTAGGACCTCGAGGGAACGAGCGTTCTACCATCATGGCTCGTTGGGTTACTGTGATATGCAAGCCCGACCACCACGTCAAGGTAGTAGCCAATGCAATTAGCGAGGCTATGACTGCTGCCTATAACTTTGTTAACTCAGCTCAATTTTGATATATTATTCAACTTGGCAATGAAATTAAAGGTAAACCACATTAGTCGAATCTGAAGTAAGAATCCTTCTAACATTTTCGCCAACTGAATTTTTAGCTTCAATGAGTTTGTTGTTGTTGGCTGGGCCATTATCACATTCATCTTCGGAATCACCCCAATCACCATCTAAAGAGGAGATAAAAAAGATGTGACAGTTTTTATCGAGATTTATACGATAAAAACAGAACATTATAAAGTTTTCAGCTATCACTGATGACAAAATGAATATGATAGGTCTTATGATGTCTGAACTTAATATATGTGTAAGTATCGAATTTACTGTAAGTACAAACCTTTAAGAAATACTTTAGAGAGTACAGTTCGTCAACTGACACATGAACATCGTGAATACGTTAGCTGTTTACCTGCTACGGTATAATTAATATCCACAGATAATTTATTTTCATGTTAAAGTATCAATACGACTGCATAACCTAGTATAGGGGCGATCGATTCGGTTCAGTGAACGAAAGAGAAGTTATAACGTACAAACAGCAACAAAATGTGGTTGAACAGGATGTGACTGTCATAACTCAATAGATTAATGGATAACATCCTGATGTTTGAAGTGAAAGAACTTGAGTTTCAGTGAAAACACTACCAGTCGTTAAACAGTAGCCATTTGCCGAGTTTCAAACAGGATGAAACATACACTTATAAAACTTGTACTAGCCATCAGCAGAAGATGCGATTATTTGGATTGATTTGTCGCAGTCGAAGGAAACTGAAATGCATTCATCAACCTTGTGTACATTCACATACCAGGCAACGAACCACACTTATTGTGCAAGAGATGACATTAAGTGGCTGTCCAAACCTCGGTAGGTGGAACAGTGCTCGAACCGGTAACTCACTGATTGAAAGTCATCTTCCTAAATCAATGAGTCACGGCTCCACGTTTGTCGCAGTGGATTACTCCAGGCAACTGAAGTTACATTACACCAAATATTCACGCAGCACCATATTTTGAAATAATACTTATCTGAAGTAAGAGTGCTCACAGTGACAAAATCCACATTTATGTTCTAGTTTCACTGTACACATGGTCATATGCATCTATCTAGTTGATCACACTTAAATCACTTCATATATATCTCAGTGCGAAACTATTCTTCAAAAGACAATTAAATTGTAGGCTACAAAAAAAAGCGAAAACAAAATGAAACAGTAGTCAAGTGTGGATTACTGTTTCAATATTATCAACAACATTAGAGCACTATTATTATTTGTCCCCTGGGTTCCTAGTGGAACATAGGGATTCAGTAGCACGTCACCATTTCACTCTCTTCTCTCCAGTCTTTCCAACCTGGCTCCACGACTGCCCACAAACTTTCATTTCTTCCTCACATCATATACTCCATGTCACCCTCAACTCAGACGCCCAACTCGTCGTCTCCCCTTTGCGTCCCACTCGACGGCCTGGCCTGGTGCGTGATGTCCCCAATCGGTCTTCTCAGTGTATGGCCAATCCAATCTAATCCATCTCCACTTCCACTTCCATTGCCTTCTGCATATTTGTTGGGCGATGGGTTCCTGGTTAGTTCGTTGCCAGACAGACAGAGTTCCTTGTTGTTTATTCTTAGTATTCTGGTCATCTGATCTCATCTCATCTGATCTGATCCGATCTTGAGTATCGAGTGAGCGTAGGCAGCAGCAGTTGATCATGTATGTCTGTAGTTTGTTGGAAATGCTTTTTGTGACGCGCCAAGTTTGTCAACCATCACATAGAAGCACTGACTTGACTGGGATTAGTGTTGAAAATCCGGATGTTGTTCACGCTTTATGCTGAGTGCAGTAGATCCCCACACTGGTTTCAGATTAATGCAGCAACGTCTGTCTTGCTGTATTTCCGATCCTGGATTGGACGTCCTCATCTGTGCATGTGCCACCTGTAGTTCGAACGATGCTTCCTAGGTAGATGAAAGAGACAAATTTCGTAAATTTCTCCCGCTGATTGTGATTGGTGGTATTTCTAAACGAGTAGCAGGTGGTGGTCGACTCAAGAGTTTTCCAAAGTGGTCACCCCCACGTTTCCTTTTTTCTCCTCTTTGGTGATAACTAGGTTTCCTTCACTATCTCTCATTGGTTTATCTGAGTTGATCTCTTCCCTCCCAGATAATAACCTGGTTATTTGACACAATGTTGTCAGGTCTCTCTCTCTCTCTTTCTCCCGTACCTGCAGCCTATTCTGCTTCACTTGCCAGTGTGTCGTAGAAGTGTCTTGTATTTGCGCGCACTCTTCTTCACTTCTTTGTCTAGTGTAGTGTTGTATAGGTTGTGTTCAGTTTCTCTTTTGGTTGTTCATCCTTGCACTGCACTGGTTCATCTTCTGCTTCACCATCTTCCTCTCCCTGCTCTATCAGCTTCCATGTGTCCGTCGAGATACATTCCTTGTCTGGCGTCTTCTTCTTCCTTACTAATATGGTTATACAGGTTTCTCTCCACATCTCTTTCAAAGAGTTCCAGTGTTCGTCCACGGAGGTTTGTTTCTGCAGGGATGTCGCTCGAAATTTCCTATTTTGTCCTGATGACTGAAGTGAAGATGTCCTTCGTAGTTTCGTCCATCAGTTCAGTTTCTGTTCTGGGCGTTGAACTTGAACTGTGGTCTATCGCCGACTTTTTTGAAGGCTTTCAACTTGACTTTGAAGCTTCCTTGCACCAGACAGTGAGTGGTGTGAACCTACATCTGCTCCCTCTCTCGGTCTGATCTTGTGTCCAGTAGGCTGACTGCGTCTCCACTTTCTTCACATTGAGATGAAGTCGATCTGGTTTTTAGTGTAGTGTGTCTTGGTGTCTGGTGAAAGCCATGTCGCTTTGTGAGTATCCTTGTGTTTGTACACTCTACCTCGCCTCCAATCACCAAATCATTGGAGGTGTAGAAGTCTGCAAACAGTTCTGCATTCTCATTCATCATTTCACCGGGTGCTTCTCAACCGATGATGAGTTCTCTTCCTGTGTTGTCCGCTCCCAGTTTGGTATTCACATCACCGCACTCATTAGAATTTTGATGTCACCATCTGGAGTAGGTTCTTCTCTATTGCTGATTGCAGTTGTCTATGGAATTCCTCCTTCTTCTCTTGATCCGCATTATTTGTAGGTGTATAGCGTAGCATTGTATGATTGTGACTTTCCTTCCTTTTGAGTTGAACCTTTCTGTCATGATTCGGATGCTGGAGGAGATTGGTTCCAACTGCATGACAGAGAGAGCCTTCGGTGCTGTTGGCGACATCGTGATAGCCACTCGAAAACTCAGTGTGCTGGTGGTTGTCGTCTGTGTGACAATATTGGAATAGATTATTGACTCTGCAGTTGAAAGTTGGGAGAGTCGACTTCCATTCCATTGAATATGCTTTTGCAGATTCCTAACACTTCTATGGCATACCTTCTCATCTCTTGTGCAATCTGGGAAACCTTGCTAGGTTTATACATGGTACGGATATTCCATGTGCCTATGCTTACTCTCGCTTTCATCGAGAGAAGAGAAGATACATCGGGCGACTGGTTTCCCGAAGGCTTTCACCGACCGGCGTCATTTTATCTCCCCGATTCCAGTGAGGAATAAGTTTATTTTTTATATTTGCTTTGTGTTTTGGAGTTTCTTTAGCGATTGGATTGGTTTTGGGGGGTATGGTTGCTAGCCCTATGCCCAGCTTTCCCTCTTTATCCGGGCTTAGGACCGGCTAGTAACTAGTGAATTAGTCAACCAGGCGAGGTTGCATTATTCCATAGTGAGTGCGAATACTATCCGTATGACGAAAAGATAAACAACGGAAACATATGAGATGAATTTGGATCTTTGATCCTATCAATGCGAATCATATACTTGAATCATAGAGCTATACTTGCTTTATGTCAGTAGTCATGTTACAGGATGTTATACCATCAGAAAAAAATATCACGGAATTACACTTCTGCGACACTCCACCAAGACAGTACTACAAAGGAGCGTACTTAGGCTTTCGATTAAAAGCACAGTGACAAATAATGCAACAAAGTTTTGGCTCCATTTGAAGCATTTAACTGCTGAACCATGAGTAGAAAATATTTCCTGATAAACCAGTTTGTTTTAGTTGAAGTATACAAACAAGGCGGTTTTCAGTATATTTTGATCTGTAAGTGTGTAAAATTCATTCATTTATCCATATTACCTTTAAGAAGGCAGTGTTAGAAAATGACTTCGGTAAAAAACATCAGAACTTAGGCTTCATAACGCTAAAATAAATAAATAAATGGGGTTTTCATTCACTAAAGTATTTACTTGGTCAAAATTTGGAAGAGGAAATGCAAACAATTTATTAGGATTTGTTTTCACTAAGAAGTAAGCTATAGATCAGCAGTTACCCAACGATTACTTTGTCTTGGTTTGACACAATATGATAATGCTTAATATTAGTGATGGACAGTGGCTAGCAGTAAAATCCAGGACGTGTTTCGTCTTATTTGGGACCCGTCAGCTAGATACAATTGCATTTTTAGAAGACTGGTGAGTCGAAATAATTTGGAACAGTTAGAAAGAACATTGAACTAACTAATAAGAAGCCAATTTGTCAAAAATTCCAAAATAATTCACAGTACATCATAAACATTCTCTTAATGGGAACGGTTGATGTCCCTCCTGAAACCTGAGTTGATTCGTCTAACAAGTAACTTTTCTACTAGGAACTCAGAATACACTAAGCCAACAATTTCGAAAGAGGATGAAAGCGATAAGCATATCCTTCTCTAATTATTTTCTCGAAAACTATCAACATTTCTACAAGCATATAACTTACCAGATTCTGAGGTCCTACCATGCTCCGGCGAAAGAACTTTAGGAGGATGAGTAGTCGTCTTTGCTGTAACTGAACATGCTGTTATTAGGTTTTCATCTAACTCGTCCTGATCGACTTCATCTGCAAGGATCACAAGTGATGATGAACCGGATGTCATTTCTTCAAAATCAGAGAGTATATTAGTTGAATTTTGATTTTCTGTCTATAAGAGTAATCAATAGAAGAAATATTATCAGAAATGATGGTTTTCCTTTCCAGAGAAAAGTAGTTGTACAAGTAAAGAAAACAAGGTCCATCTTCTTTCACAAGAAGATTATGAGACCCAATATCCCCAGTCTGCAAACGTTTCTTCCATTGGCAACAGAATAGTGTAGAAAGGATTTGAAATTAATATCAACACTGAAATGCGTATGTTGTGTTACCTACGTTCAATCACATAAAAGATGGTGAATAGGAATTTACTAACACGCTAAGCATCATTGTGACATCAAAAATAGGATCGAACTCCAAATGCTTAAATCTTTTTAAGAGTAAAACCAACGACAACAAATAAAGCACGATAGCATGATAATGTTTAACGTCTTAAGGTTCGCTTCAGCTGCTCACAGCCGATAAAACTGCCAGTCAGATTACAATGTAAACATAACATACTACAGTTTATCAACAAGAAGTCAGTTGGTGGCTAACTCCAACATGCAAACGAATAACAAGATTGAAAGTAACACGAAACGGAAATGTAGACGATAAGATATGTTACGAATCTATAAGTCAGAGTAATCTTATCGAATGGCAACAAGAATGATGTAGAATTTCAAAAAGAGACTACTCAAGTGGATTCAACGAGTAGACAAATTAAAAACAAATAAATTCAGAAATAAAGTGTAAGAAGAATGGTGAGATGAGCTCAATGGAACAATATCGAAGTTCAAAGTGAATTAAAGGATTAATACTGATAAGATGACAAGAGATGATGCAACTGAGTGAAGAGATAGTTCGTAAATGAGTTCCAACGGTAGTCAAAGGTCAACGACTGCTTCTTTTTGAACTTCTAAATCTGATTTCAGACTTTTTATTGTACTGTGTACTCCCACCGTTGATTATTCCCTGCAAACATTGCCTAACAGACTTGTGGGTGTTTGAATCGAAAACGAGTTAGTGATTCATTACAGCAACAAAATGATTCACAGCTGGGAAGTGGAACAACTGTCAGAAAAAACGTGGTTAAACAATGAGAATGGTGCAGACTAGAGCCGATTGTGTCATCCATGGAGACCCAGGTGCAAAAGGATTGGTAAGAATGAATGAAGAATCCTACAGACCACCCAAACAACTACTGAAATAGCCAACTAAGTTTCTTTAATTCAGTTGCAAACTTAGATTACGTATATAATAAATAAATCTAACTGGTCATTTCAGTAATTGCCTAGATGATCTTTAGAGTCATTAGAGTCAACTACTGCACATCACATAAACCACAAACATCAATTTTTATTGTAAGAAGCTTCATAACATAATCTAACTGGATTTAACTCAAAATAAACCCAACCAGTTCTCCTCTTTAGTCGAAATGCAGTGACCGTATCGGTTTTACCTGGCCTGGTTCTGAAAAAGAATATTAACCCAAACAAGATTCAGTGCTGGTGGCTGGACCATGGAAACGCATGAGAGGGATTATGTATTGCACTCATGCAGTGATACGAAAATGATAAGTTGAACTAGTGGTTTCAGTGAATGTTCTGGTTATTAACCCTCACATTTTGAATTCTGTTTAGTTTTGATGTCAGTTGATTCATTTCACGACATGGCAAAATATGACAACACCTGTTAATTTGCAACACACAAAGTTAGATGGAGCTTATTCAGTCAGAAGTCTTAGTGATCCGATTGCAATGATGAGATGGAGATAGCCTTTATATCAACAAAATTGTGACCAGCTGTTGAAGACGACCAGTCATTAGTAGTGAGTCTGGTATTGTGGAGAGGTTATGATTTAAAACGCATTCTAATCAAGCATCTCCACTGATAGTAGCTTTTAACAATACTTGATGTGGTAATACAAAGGCGATTCAGAGTCTTGTACCTTGCATTCGACTGTTTCTGACTCATCGGTTATCCAAACATCCAGCAGAAGAAGAAGCAAGTTGCATCAGACAATCAGTTTAGTTTTTAGAAGGAAGCAAGAAATCTACTCACAGGATAGGTTGCGGTATTGGGGCTTTGACGAGGTGAGTATCTGCCTCAAGTAGTGAATTTATCGGTCACGTTAGGATGCCTGGACAGCCTCAGGTGCTGCTGGAAAGCAGTCTTCATGCTTCTTCGATATCACAAGTACCTGTTATTTACTGGATAGGGTAGCATTTCAAAATTACTGGTTACAGAAAGGTGTGCGTACAACAGCTAATAACAACTTGAAAGCTTTGTGCAAGAACACCTCAGTGCAAACATGGAATAAATACATGCTGAAAATTGCCAACCAGTGATGGAGGGGGGGGGCACTGTTTTCTAGCACTGGAGCAGATTGAATGAACTATTATGAAGATACACTGGTTGAAAAATCATAAATCTGATAAGCTTATTTACAGTTCTTTCAGGCAGTTCCCATTAACAGCTGATCCAATCTTAACTATAGCGACAGCAATCCAGTTTAATGAGCCTAACCAACTAATTTTTGTAGATGTATTCCATCTTGATATTGAAAAATAAAACAGTAAGACATGGATGGATATTTCACTTCCTAGTACAATATCTGAAATGATTTTTAGATGTTTTGCTTGACTAAACTACATTACTTGCTTTATATGTAAAATCAAGAGAAAGGAGTAACTACTCAGAAGAAAGAAGAAGTAGAAATTTCTCACATGATAATTTAAAAGAGGAGAGTGTGATAGAAACAGCAGAATTATTATTATATGTTATATCGCATACTTTGTGCACACTTTTAAGTTGCGATTAAACAGAGAGAGAAAGAAAGAATACATATCAACTACTAAATTGGAACATGTTGGGAATTCCGTGAGTACCACTAGATACAAACGTCACTTTCGAGTGATATGCATATGCACATATAAATCTCAGTCTACTGTTTAGTAGTGTATAACAGAGTACAGCATGATTAGCTATCAACAATGATCCAATGGCTCATTAGCCTACCCTTCCGAATTTTAAGTTGCTATTCATCACAGACTGACATCAGTTAGAGGAACATTGGAAACCTGGTAGCAGTGGACAGGTGTTTTGTCACAGAATGGGACTTCTCAGCAGTGCGCACCCACAACACCACCAGCTATTGCTTCGCGGGTTTAAGTTTCGGTCCATCTTCTTTAGTCACATAGTCTCATAATCCATCGTATAACAGGGTTGTCTCATAGGCTGTCAGACTGTCAAGTTTCATATAAGCAACACAAGTAAGGACGAAGTGTGTTAATGATAAATGATCCTAGGGAAAAAGGTTCTGGGGTTCAAGCCGAGAAAAAAGACATCATAACCAAGAATTCACAGTGATCCGCACTTACAAGCTACAGCTGCTACTTTTATGTGGTGGTCAGGCTTGCACATCACATGATCCAACCAGCTACACTACCTGCAACGCTTGTTCCTTTGGGTTCCCAACATAAGAGAAAGATCTGCTCGATAGTGGTTAGATAGAAAGCAGTTACCATCATAGTGTAATTTACAACACGATCCGAGGATGGAGTCGTACTGCTTGCTGGATGAAGTTTGACAGCAGTAAGGTGTTTCCCGCGGACGGCCAGCAATGCCATCAAGATGCAGCCTTTCCTATGGGAAAAGGTGAATCCTAAAAGCAGAACACTCCCTTCTACCCTGTGGCATACTGGAGCCGGCGATTTAGGTTCATAGTTGGAATCAAAAACTTCTATCGAATTCGTATGTGGAAAGCCCAAGATGATGACACTTAGGCTCTTCTCTCACGTACTAACTCTTTTTTCTCAGTTACTTCAATAAGTAGCACTCCGACCTGTGGATGACCGGAAAGTGGCAACCACCTTAACAACTCGATCAGTTTCCAAGTTCCCTCACCTCGTTAGGAAATCTCCATATCTCGAACTTCTGGTGCTTCCTCATATATCTCAGTCAATATTCCTACATCATCTTTAATTTACTCCAGCTCCCAATGACCCTCCTGACACCTATCCTAGTTTAAGAAATAACATCCCTGGTCTACTGAAATCATGTCCTTAACTACACATTATACCTTTCAATATCCGCATCCTCCATCAAATCGGCCAACAAGCTTTGCTAGCCAAAAACTTACCATCTCGAGGTCATCGATTTGTGCTGCGTTTGTGAGATATCCACACATAAGTTACGTTATTCACTTAACCTTACCGAGTCAATATACGAACTTTCTGGGAAAAGATGGGTAGTTCTCATGATTATGCAGGTGTAGATATAGCACTGAGCACTAATGTAGAAAGTTCACTACTCAACTGGATTCCTGTTGGGAGTTGCTTATGAGTTGCTAGACCGAATTGCAAAGTGAGAACTGAAAAGAATAGTCAAACTAGACTCTGTTTTTTGTCAATCTCTGTTTACGCTCCCACTGACTGCACCCCAGATGAAGTGAAGGATGAATCCTACCAAAAACTATCTAGCCTCCTACTGAAAGCCAATGTTCAAACATGGTTGTCGTTGCGGGTGATTTCAATAGAAAATGGGTAGGCTAAGTCACGTATAAAGGTGCTTTCGGAATTCCAGCCGAATGAACAGCGATCGACTGTTACAACAGGGCTCAGATAATCATTTATTTCTAGCCAGGATTAACTTCAGGCATGAAGAGGGAGACGTTATCTGGTGTGGCATTCACCGACTTCAACTCAAAAGTGAACACAGACAAACTATATTGGCATCAGTTATCGCTGAAGAGGGTCGTTGGAAGCCTGTCACTTCTTCAACACATGTTTTGACAGTGAACACGCATTAGTTTAAGCACGTGAATATCTTCCCGTAAATGGACGTAGAAAAACACTAGAAACAAGACAAATGAGCAGACACCTCAACAGCAATGAGAGCACTAAGACTGCCTTCAATGAGGGACTGGTTAGACAGATATCGGATCAGAACAATGTCACATTCGGAAGAAGCTTGGCATCATCTTTAGTCCGCTGCAGAAACAGCGTTTTAAAACCGCAGCCGACTTTCAGAGAGTGGTTAAAAAATGGTAGGAGATATCAATCGCTTTTTCTGGATTAATGCATGTGCATGGAGGGATTCCTGCAGGCTCTACGTACAGTGAGGAGGAGTGGAAGCAACTTAAAAGTAGATTGACCAAGGGTCTGCGCAATGACCAAGGGCAGTGGTGGGTATAAAAAGCTAGAAATAGGAAAGGCAGTAGTGATAGGTAACAACGGACAGTTATTTAAGCTTATCAGGAAAAATGAAGTGAAAAGGTCAGTGGTTAGTAAGGCTATAACGGAGAAGGATAGGTTCATGATTTGTTCGCGGAGAAGAAGACTGGAACGATAGGCGAAACACTTTAACCCTCGACACCTGCAAAAGTTGAGAAAGCTGTAGGTAACCTGAAATGAGGTAGAGTAGCAGGATCAGACGGACTAGTTCCAGAGGTATTCAGGGCTGTGGTAGGGAAAAACTGATTAGGCTAACTGAAGTATTTACTGGTTTGCAAGAGACAGATATGATCCTATCCGACTTCTCTCAAATACCTATTGTCTCAGTCTTCAAGAAAAAAGAGAAGTCCTCTTGTGATAACCACAGAGGTAACAGTCTGACGAAGATAGTGTTTGAGATTCCAGGTTCTGTAATTATTAGACGACTAGGTGAGGCGCAGAAACAGCAAGCCTGGGAAAACATGGCAGTACTCAAAACCGATCATGGATGTATCGGTCGCCTAGTTTCTGGAAGACAAGCACACCTGCGAGAGCCTGATACTAGCTTCCTTTCTTGATGTGATGGTGGCATTTGACTCCGTCAATCCAGAGGTCTTATGGCAATCAATCACTGAAAGGGGTATCAAGTGAGTAAATCACCCTCTTGAAAGTGCTGCATTTGAACATTCATGTGCACATCAGTGCCTGTGGCGATACATGAAGTGAGTAGTGTACATCGATCGGTATTAATCAATGACATCCACTTTCCTCCTTCTAATTCTCTTTTATCATATACGTCCATATGGAGGTCCCCTACTCGTCCTCTGACTTAACACGGATTGGATCCTATCACAGGAGAATCCTAAAGTACGTAGATGACATAGTCCTGTTAGGTGATGGCATTGACAAGATGTTGAATTATCTGGTCATGTAAGGTGGCATATTGATGACATAGAGTGCTGATGTGACACACATACATCTTTTCATTGATATAACACAGTCACAGTAAAAAGACACAGAACTCACAAAAACAGAATTATTTTCTGGCAATGAAGTAGCTGATTTCATTTTGAAATCTTTTACTTCTGTTTTATCACTTGACACAATTTTGTTGCTGTTGAAACCTTTAGCCAAATCATTATTTTGACTTCCAGGTTTTTTACAACCCCGTTTTTTTTTTACGTTTTTTTTCGATTGCCAATTTATCGCCACCAGTATTACATGCTTTTTTACCGGTACCACATTCTCCATCTGAAGATTTACCAGATACTGAAGTGTTTCCTGTACTGTCAACAGTGGTTGTAGTAACAGTATTTGTATTTACTTTGTCATTTGAAATAACCGATTCGTTTTCTACTGTTGTATGATCATCACTGTCCAGTGTATCTGAGAGACAATAAAAGAGGGAGTTAACAGAATAGTCTAACCTGTGTCTTTTTCTAACTAGCTGATGTCAGCTTAGAAAAAAACATGATCTAAGATATATAACAGAACATGAAATTTGAATCTTAGAATGCTATTAACCAATACACACCCATAATTCATCACACTAGAATTGAATCGAAAACTTTCAGACTCAGTATTGTCTAGTGAACATGATTGAAATCGTCAATTAAATTTAAAAACACTAATCTCATATCAGTAAACAGCAATAAATATTGTATTTTAAATTTACACGACACTTCAAAGTGGACGCCAACACACGCGTGTAATGCAAAGGTATAAGCTAGGCTTTAATAGAAGTTAGCTTAAGATAGATGCGTTAAGTCTATAAATATATGTGTTTATCATGAAGAAATGCCATGGAAATATGGTGGTAATAACTATAGACCCTAGATAATAAATTGTTCAACAACCATGTGAATCAAGTTTCAAAAGAATGGCGTCTAATTGTCATAGTTGAGGGAAATCATAGATGTAAACATTTCCGAATTGATTTGGTCAATTTCAAATACTGACAGAGAAAACTGCTTATTGCAATTGCGACGTTCCTGAAGGTATAGTTGAACAGTCTAGGAAGGGACAACCGAGATATTTTTCTTGCTGAATGAAAATTGTAAAAATGCTAGTTGGTTCAGTTTGTACAACAGAGAGGCTAACAGATGCTACGATTCCCCTCCCCCCCCCTCAACTGTAATTTTGACGTGGTGGTCGGACTTGTATAGCATAATGACCGAATAAACTATGCTGGTGGAACGCTTGTTTCCTCAAGGTCCTTCAATACCAGAAAGCTCTGCTAGATAGTAGCAAGACGAAAAGCAGTTACCATTGTAGTGTAAAGTGCAACACTATGATAAGATTCTGAGAGGCTATGTGTGACAGACCTCAAGCGGATGTCACATAGACTCTGTAGTCACACAACTCTTTTTCTTTTTCAAGTACCCTTAGAAGAAATAACTTTCCACGATGTAGGCAGAGCCAAGGAGCGTCAACATCCCGTACGCTTTCAGTGGTATAAAAAATCCAAACAAACGTAATATGGCCTCCTTACCCTACCTCTGTCTCATTCCTTGCTTCCACCTTCTGATGCTAACATTAGGTCTCTTACTCTTACCACAACTTCTTCCTCGGTGACCATTGCCAACGATCTTAGTCATCCAAACCCTATTCATAGTCTCCTAAGACCGGCTGTCAGTTTCATATTGCAGCCTTCAACATCTGAACCCTATATCTTTTCGAAATCCAGACAATGCTCGCCTTAACACTGGATCTCGAGCCATGAAAGTATACTGGGTTTCTGAGACAGACTAACAGGAACCGAGTGCGGTTTTAACTTGACATCATCTGCCTATATCAGTAAATCTTCAGTGTTCACTTTACGAGTGTCCGGAGTTTAGTGGCTGGATATCGTAAATTCGATGGTGTAGACATAGCACTGACCCTTAGGGCAGAAAGTGCGCCCCTCACCTGGAAACTGGTCAGCAGCCATCTGTGTGCTGTCCAAATGAATGGATATGTAAGAAGTAGGAAGGCTCACATGACTAGCCGATGCCTATTCGTATTCTCTGTCAGTTCGGATGATGCAAAATATGAGTTCAATGAGAAGCTGCCAGTTTTGCTACAGAGAACAAAACGTTCAAATACAGTCATTCTAGCAGGTGACTTTGACACTAAAGTTGGGGAGCTGAGTCAATTGGAAAGGCAACTCGGAAGTATCTATGGAATACTTTAATAACGAATAATTAACGGTGATCATCTGTTGTACTTCTGACCAGCACAAATGTCAAGCATGAAGAGCGACATTATCTCACCTGGCATCTGTTATGAGCCATCTTTGGAGAGGATTGTCGCTCTTCTTGAAGTACTTGTCTGGACTCGAACCGCGCGCTAGTACGAGCAGGTGTGTCTGCGCCTTACTGTTAGCGAAAAACAGTCAGTAGGGAAGCCTTTCTCTGCTGGATTGGAAGATGAGAAAGTGAAGTACGCATCTAGAGAAGAGATAGGTAAGCGTTTGTCTGAACCGGAGAGTAAACCTCAGTCTGAAGTATTCTGACATGGTAATAAGTCCGCTGTTCGCTTTTGCAGCAGAGGCCGTGTGTTGTGTTGTCACCATGCGTGTATTACAGAAGTCAGTTGTAGCTTTAGGGAGAAGAGGAAAATAAGTTGATGAGGTTGTGAACCTTAATCGATTGAGATGGCCGGGACATATGTTGCGCATCCCTAGTCACCGTCCACCTCGTCATGCAATGCTAGCTGAAGTAGTTCCAGGATATAAAAAGGCTCGGGGTGGTCAGACTACAATATGGAATCATTGCATGAAGCCTTTGACTGGTTTTCTGCGCCATACAGGGAGACGCAAACTAGCCGGTAGGGATCCAGGTGACAACAGAGACCAGTGGTTTGAGACTCTACGTGATATGGTTCAGAATTGATGTCAGTGATGCAGATGTATCCACAATTCACCTGAACCGCTTTACTGAATTCGGCAGTAAGCTCATCACTTTCTTTAACAGCTTTCTGCTACTTTGGCTGATTTTATTTCCTTCTTCAACTTCCATCTTATTGCTTTGTTACTTGCTGTACTAATATGTGTGGAAACTTCGACCGTAACCCAAAAAAGCCTGATCCTATGTTGATATTGACGGAATTGAAATCCGCTGTAGAGAAAGTGGTCAACATCGTTGGTAATCCACATCCAAAGTTTAGTGGACGTCACTGGATTTCTGCAACCTCACAACAACCGATTGATGCGAGAAGACTGATTCAATCTGGCTCTGTCAACAATGAAGAGCGAAAGCAGCTCAAACGTATATCGAGTGAGCGTCTTCATAGTGACCATGAGCAGTGGTGGGTGTCGAAAGAGAAATAGATGGTGAATACATCAGCGTTAGGTAATACCGACAATTTTTCGGGTTTATTAGGAATAGTGGGATAAGGAATGCAATGATTGGTTATACCAATATCGAAAAGGGTGGTACTCTGGTAACCTCCTCAGACATGTGGTTAGAATGCTGGGCAGATATTACTTGAACAGACTCCCCTATTTTCGTCACAAGAGGACTTCTATCTTTTCTTGCAAACTAGAACGATCAGGAAAGAAGATTAGGGTGACAGGACTACCACTAATTCTTATATACTACCTCAGTTATCCTAATTAGTAGTTTTCCATCTCTATGATTAAAATATTCTGGTGACCGACCATAAAGTTCAGCTACTTAGCTTTTTTTTCAGGTGCGACACAGTCTTCTTAACTTCGAGGACAGGTTCGAGCCAGATGCCAAGCAACTGAAGGATCACTGTGACCCAGTCGAACTCTGTTACAAAGTGCTCCCCCCAGCGTTCAAGCCACCCGTTTGGGGAGGTTACCAGAGTACCACCCTTTTCGATATTGGTATAACCAATCATTGCATTCCTTATCCCACTATTCCTAATAAACCCGAAAAATTGTCGGGTATTACCTAACGCTGATGTATTCACCATCTATTTCTCTTTCGACACCCACCACTGCTCATGGTCACTATGAAGACGCTCACTCGATATACGTTTGAGCTGCTTTCGCTCTTCATTGTTGACAGAGCCAGATTGAATCAGTCTTCTCGTATCAACCAATTATTATATTGAGAAAATTTATAGACGTCAGGCAACCTTTGAATGACGAAAACAACAGAAAGCAGTCAGAAGTGGTGATAAGTCATCGAAAAAGAGCAAGGTGAAAAGAGAAAACACTAAGATAAGATAATGTGTAGAGACTTCTGCGTCATTCAGCTAGCTTGATCCTGAGCCATATTACCTAGAGTCTCCATTAACGTATCTCTATTGTGATGCAAACCTCAGTCGGAAAGTCTGCATATCCCTACACAGCTTAGGTCGACAGCCAGAGATTGATTTCATGTTTTAGTTTGGCCATCTGCAACCTTTTCCAGCTAAAACCTACATCAGATAACATTGTGCGACGGGGCAGACAGTGACTAGACATGCATAACACATGTCACAGCAACCTCAGTTGATGAAGGTCCATGGCTTCGTTAACTAACTTTTCTCTCCTCCCTAAAACTATTAGCCCCATACGTCGCGGCAACACGACACACTACCTTTACTATGAAGCCAACGATGGTCGAACACGTGAAGCCTTTTCATGTCCCCCGCCTTTAATGGTCATGTTTCATAATCGAAAAAAACTATTAGACATATTAATATTCAATTTGTTTATAACTACGCGGTCCTATAATATTTGTTATACCAATATTATCCACCGGGTACTGAATCGATAAGCCTTAATCACTCCATGTATCTGAAGGATGAAATAAACACATCATTAAACGTGAGATATAAAGGTAATTTGACCATAGAACTATGAGCGACGAATGGTTAGTTAGTTACCTAAGCTTGTCAAACTTTAAAGTAATACAAACGAAAGTTACATATAAAGAAAAGACCAGAAATGCCGTAAGAGAAATAAACGTAATAAGATAAATGAAAGAAATCAGATGTGTATACAGTAATGCGAAATCTAAAAATGTCGGGAAAAAAATGAAATGCAAAAGGATTCGCACAGTTATAAACAATTTTATCGCTATACAGTGATTCCAACTGCTAATTTTTACCACCTATTGAACTTCAAAATTTCGCTGTGTTCATTTATGACATTTGATATGACTGCTGCTAGGCTCCAGTTCGAGTAGAAACATTCTAAGGGATGCAGGTAAACTTAACTGACAAGTCAAAAATAAGATAAAATGATTGTTCTAAATTCCATTGTTCGCTATCAAAAACGATATAAACGTTACATATCAACTGAATAGGACCGTTTGCTTAATCAGGATCAGTTTGACAGTGAAAAGAGGTAACAGATTCCCTTATTCTTACTTTAATTAACCACTCCTATGATATTTCTATAGAAAATAAGGGTTAGGTTTGAAATATTGACCCACGACAAGTTTAAATTTAAGTAACCAAGACAATAAGCAACACACATATATTTCATATTAAAGTGTTTCAGACAACTGAGACTTTTCGACTATAATAGCATAATCAATTATTTGGTAAAATACATATCCCCTCAGTCAAAAATTTTGTAAGAGAAAAAACGCTATGGTAAGACACGAAAGGCTAAATACTATCAAAAGGGTTGGCTGAAAAAGCATGAATGCATCGTACACCCTAGGGTACTTAGCTTAGCCATTTTGAAAACCCGATGTATATACTTAACAACTTCTGAGACATGAACAGTGTTCCATCTAATCAACCGAGAAATTTGCTATTCTTTATCTAACTGGTTTTAAAGAATGGAACATTAATCACAATAATGCGGATGTGAATTAAAAATATTGTCACAGACCACAGTTTCTGATCAAAGTACACACAATAAACACTGCTGTACAACAGACAAGATCATTAATCACCTTATTATAAGGGTTATGTTGAGTAGCTCTGCAAAAACACAGTACTATGAACACTGCAGAAAGGTTAATTTCTCTCTTAAAATCAAATATTTATTCCTGCCCCAATTCATTTTCGCTTCAATCTGAACTGTGAATTAGTGAAAACACAAATCAACTTACAATCTTGCACAAAAGTGCATCAATTCAATTCATCGTATTTCACAACAACACGAAGGGAAAAAAAGTGGGGTGGATTTGAAAAATAGATAGCATTCAGGAAGAAAACAATATGTAGAATGAAAAGGGGAGATAAACAAGCGAAGTTTAATGAAAAAGTTGGGAATTTTAAGGTATATAAATCAGTGCTCCTGTGGTGAATACTTTTACATAAACAAACGATAGTTCAGTTTTTGTTTCTTCATAACATTAGGTGAAGACTACTCAATGTGACACACAGTTAAAAAAAACATCTTAAAAAGTAACAAGGGGGAAACATTTTCAAGGCATTTCTGAGTTCATCGAAAAGCCTCCAAAGCACATCTCGTTTATCCTCATTTCAAAAAGCTATAACCTCGCCCCGTTAACTAGTTCACTAGTTACTAGCCGGTCCTAAGCCCGGATAAAGAGGGAAAGCTGGGCATAGGGCTAGCAACCATACCCCCCAAAACCAATCCAATCGCTAAAGAAACTCCAAAACATAAAGCAAATATGAAAAATAAACTTATTCCTCACTGGAATCGGGGAGATAAAATGACGCCGGTCGGTGAAAGCCTTCGGGAAACCAGTCGCCCGATGTATCTTCTCTTCTCTCGATGAAAGCGAGAGTAAGCATAGGCACATGGAATATCCGTACCATGTATAAACCTAGCAAGGTTTCCCAGATTGCACAAGAGATGAGAAGGTATGCCATAGAAGTGTTAGGAATCTGCAAAAGCATATTCAATGGAATGGAAGTCGACTCTCCCAACTTTCAACTGCAGAGTCAATAATCTATTCCAATATTGTCACACAGACGACAACCACCAGCACACTGAGTTTTCGAGTGGCTATCACGATGTCGCCAACAGCACCGAAGGCTCTCTCTGTCATGCAGTTGGAACCAATCTCCTCCAGCATCCGAATCATGACAGAAAGGTTCAACTCAAAAGGAAGGAAAGTCACAATCATACAATGCTACGCTATACACCTACAAATAATGCGGATCAAGAGAAGAAGGAGGAATTCCATAGACAACTGCAATCAGCAATAGAGAAGAACCTACTCCAGATGGTGACATCAAAATTCTAATGAGTGCGGTGATGTGAATACCAAACTGGGAGCGGACAACACAGGAAGAGAACTCATCATCGGTTGAGAAGCACCCGGTGAAATGATGAATGAGAATGCAGAACTGTTTGCAGACTTCTACACCTCCAATGATTTGGTGATTGGAGGCGAGGTAGAGTGTACAAACACAAGGATACTCACAAAGCGACATGGCTTTCACCAGACACCAAGACACACTACACTAAAAACCAGATCGACTTCATCTCAATGTGAAGAAAGTGGAGACGCAGTCAGCCTACTGGACACAAGATCAGACCGAGAGAGGGAGCAGATGTAGGTTCACACCACTCACTGTCTGGTGCAAGGAAGCTTCAAAGTCAAGTTGAAAGCCTTCAAAAAAGTCGGCGATAGACCACAGTTCAAGTTCAACACCCAGAACAGAAACTGAACTGATGGACGAAACTACGAAGGACATCTTTACTTCAGTCATCAGGACAAAATAGGAAATTTCGAGCGACATCCCTGCAGAAACAAACCTCCGTGGACGAACACTGGAACTCTTTGAAAGAGATGTGGAGAGAAACCTGTATAACCATATTAGTAAGGAAGAAGAAGACGCCAGACAAGGAATGTATCTCGACGGACACATGGAAGCTGATAGAGCAGGGAGAGGAAGATGGTGAAGCAGAAGATGAACCAGTGCAGTGCAAGGATGAACAACCAAAAGAGAAACTGAACACAACCTATATAACACTACACTAGACAAAGAAGTGAAGAAGAGTGCGCGCAAATACAAGACACTTCTACGACACACTGGCAAGTGAAGCAGAATAGGCTGCAGGTACGTGAGAAAGAGAGAGAGAGAGACCTGACAACATTGTGTCAAATAACCAAGTTATTATCTGGGAGGGAAGAGATCAACTCAGATAAACCAATGAGAGATAGTGAAGGAAACCTAGTTATCACCAAAGAGGAGAAATAAAGGAAACGTGGGGGTGACCACTTCGGAAAACTCTTGAGTCGACCACCACCTGCAACTAGTCCAGAAATACCATCAGCAGCCCAGCTACAGAATTACCAGTGAACACAAGCCCCCCGACAAGAGCCGAAATCCTGGACGCCACAAAGCTGTTAAAATCCGGGAAAGCAGCAGGACCATATGGAATTCCTCCAGAAGCACTGAAAACAGACGCAGAGACGACAGCGGATATGCTCACACCACACCACTATTGCAGAAGGTCTGGAAGGAAGGAAGGAAGGAAGGAAGGAAAGGTACCTGCCCATTGATTGGAAGAAGGGCTACCTTGTCAAACTTCCAAAGAAGGGAGACCTAAGTCTTTGCAAGAACTGGCGCGGAATCATGCTACACTCGTCCACCCAAAGCAAGCGAAATATTAGGCCGCATCATCCTGGAGAGACTAAAACATGCTCTGCATTCAAAATTACCACTGGAACAGGCCGGATTCAAGAAGTGCAGATCATGTGCTGACCAAATTGCAACTCTACGCCACGCATCATCATAGAACAGAGCGTAGAATGGCAGTCAACTCAACTGTACCTCGACTCCATCGATTTTGAAAAGGCCTTCGATAGCGTCGACCGAGAAGTGATTTGACAGGCAGCTGCTTCAACACTGCGGAATACCGCAATCCTGTATCAATCTGATTCAACAACTACACGAAGACTCCACACGCCAAGTAGTTCACAATCGGAAGCTCAGTGATGCCTTCGAAGTGAAGGCAGGAATGAGACAAGGCTGCCGCCTACTGTCACCAATGATCTTCCTGATTGTGGTCGACTGGATCATGCAGCAAACCGTGAGGAGCAAGAAGATGAGCATACGTTGGCTGGACCGATGAAAAGACCCTAGAAGATTTGGATTTCACCGATTATGATTTATGTCTAGTGTCTTGTCGTACAGACTCGAAGATCTACAGGCAAAAACCAACAAGTTGACAGAAGAGGCAGGGCAGCGAGGACAGGACTTCAAGTGAACGTAGAGGAGACAGAGGTGACGAAGATACCAAACCAACAACAACAACAACAAGCACCAATCACAATCAACGGGAGAAACCTACAGAAATTTGTCTCTTTCACCTACCTAGGAAGCATCGTTCCAACTACAGGTGGCACATGCACAGATGAGGACGTCCAATCCAGGATCGAAAAGACAGCAAGACAGACCTTGCTGCATTAATCTGAAACCAGCGTGGGGATCTACTGCACTCAGCATAAAGCGTGAACAACATCCGGATTTTCAACACTAATCCCAGTCAAGTCAGTGCTTCTATGTGATGGTTGACAAACTTGGCGCGTCACAAAAAGCATTTCCAACAAACTACAGATATACATGATCAACTGCTGCTGCCTACGCTCACTCGATACTCAAGATCGGATCAGATCAGATGAGATGAGATCAGATGACCAGAATACTAAGAATAAACAACAAGGAACTCTGTCTGTCTGGCAACGAACCAACCAGGAACCCATCGCCCAACAAATATGCAGAAGGCAATGGAAGTGGAAGTGGAGATGGATTAGATTGGATTGGCCATACACTGAGAAGACTGATTGGGGACATCACGCACCAGGCCAGGCCGTCGAGTGGAACGCAAAGGGGAGACGACGAGTTGGGCGTCTGAGTTGAGGGTGACATGGAGTATATGATGTGAGGAAGAAATGAAAGTTTGTGGGCAGTCGTGGAGCCAGGTTGGAAAGACTGGAGAGAAGAGAGTGAAATGGTGACGTGCTACTGAATCCCTATGTTCCACTAGGAACCCAAGGGACACATAATAGTAATTAAGATGCCATAGCCAATAGTTTGCTATTGCTGATTAGACTGAAATAATCAACCATTATTGGCATGTGAGTTCCTACGTGGATGCCTTGGTATCGCCAGTGACTCAACTTCTATACTAATGGTTGGTAGTAGTTAGCAGTGGAATCAGTGTGTATTTTAAAGAAATGATATACCAAGCATCATCAAATGCATGAATATGTTTGCAACACTTGATTTTATCTTCCACAAGTCAAAAATAAACAGTAGCGCAGTTTATTTAAGGATAAGTACTTTTCATAACAGTTAGTACTGCAGACTGGTAGGACTATAAAATAATAAGCACATTATTTATTAACTAACACACTACGATGACATCATTTAACACTAAAGAAATACTACTTATTTCTGATGAAACGGTATTAATCGACTAGTATACAATTGATTGATTAAACACTATTGACTAACGATATAACAGTAACCCAGAAAGAATGTGGAGATATTCACATTCTGTAAACTTTTTTCTAACATTTAATCAAGCACAGTGCAAGTGTACTTAATATTAAAATATACAAGTGTTTTACAACTCATGTGACAGAGACAGAAATATATATGTCGAAAGACACGGAGTCAGATGATATTATTACTATTTTAAATGAAACAAGGAGAGAAATCATATGACTTTAGTACTAAACTTCACTATATGTACCAACATTTATCGTAACTCATTAGAGTATATATATATGTATATATACATATATATATATATATATATATATATATATATCCTGTGACTGTATAGAAAGCTTCTTCCTTTAAGTGGTGAGATCAAAAGTAGCAACTTTCAACTAAAAATCTCACATCGAAATGTCACACATCGATGTAGTCGAAAAGAAAAGTAGTATTATTAGCTGTACTAGAATACTCCCCAAAGACAAACAGGATCTTTACACGATTAAAATTTCTGTGTGTCAGCAGTAGAGGTTAAGATAGTCAACCCTGAAAATAATACACATACAATTTATTTTATGGAATTCCACTTCCAGCGATAAGTGTTTCTATTAAGAGTAAGCTGATCATTAAATTTCAGTCAGAAACCACTAAAAATGCGGTACACACCCTGTCTCAATCATCTCACTTTTAAATTAAGTTAGCAGGTGGATAACATCACTCTAACTACTAAAATTTCTTTAGCTGCAACACGAGCAGAGAAGTACTAACTGAGCATATACTAACAGAAATCCTTCCTGATAACCATCAAATATATTCCTCGTTGCATTCCAAAATGTATTTACATCCCTAATTCAATTAATTCACACTACATTGAATTCCTTTCTGGTTTACAACATATAATAATGGATAAAAATCATAGAATAGCATACCTGGTCTCCTGGGAAAAATGCCACAAACTGCTTATCGAAGCTTATAATATCATCACTCTTTCAAATCGAACAATAAACTACTTCAGCCGAAACTCGAAAACCCCCGGTTATGGATATATGCTGGGTTTATTAGACTCGAATCAACTATGTAGGCTATAAAATTTCCTTGAAAGTAACCCGGTATTGTGTTAAATTCAGGTAATCATTTGACTATCTGAGATAACCGTAGTTTGGCAGACTAGTATTTGTACTGAGTGATGGTTGAAGGTGGGATGAAAATCTGAACCGCGGCCGGATTTCCATCTCACCTCCAATCATCACCCAGTGCAGATTCAGGTAAATCACACTCTGGAACTGGTGGATAAGACTACCAGATTTTATGTCCTTTCAAGTTTAGATACAGAAAAATGTCATAGAGCAGCAAGCGAAATTCTATCACGTGAGACATCTACGAGCTTTTTGATCGAATGGTACAGTAGGGATTCAGAAAGAGAGTCGTTAACACCGATTTCTCTGCTTAGGTAAACAGCGACTGCAGCTCAAACCCAGCACAGAATGTACTATAATGAAAAATGCAGAACCTCGTACAGAAAGCTCGAAATTTCAGATTTAGCCATTGAAGAGAATGAACTTCGCGAACAATTATGGGAACTAGGCTATAAAAAAGGTACTTCAATGGTACTTTCGGAAATGCAACCCAGTGAATCGATAATAGTGACCGCCTCTATTCTTAACCAACCCAAGTTTAAGACATAAAGAAAGACATAATCTAACCATGTGGAAACATATGTCAACTGAACAGTGAACACCTATGAACCTTCTTAGTATCCGCTACTGTTGGAGACAATAGGTAGAAAATTATGGCTTCGTTTGAAGCATGAGTACATGGTACATTAGCATATGCCAGTCTGCTCTTCAGT